TATGAACGCAAGCACTTCACCCCGCCAACGCTGCAATCGTTGATTCCTGGCCGGGGGGAGATGCCATATGTGTACATCAAGCGGCTTCCTGGGATTCGCAAAACCTACCAGGGGTTTTACCCGGGCAGCTTGGCGATCTCTTCAAGTGTGAAACTAGTTTGCTTGGTGAAACTAGTTTGCTTGAAAAAACAACTGTTGTTTGGCACAAGCTTCTGAAGTGATTCTTGTCATTGAATCTTGCCCCCCTTCTTGACTCAGGTCCGACTGGAACGAAGCAGAGTTTGAACTCAACCTGGGATGGCCCACAAAGAAAGCTTTCTGAGAAGGATGCATTGAAAGAAGTGCTTGAGTTCATGTGGATGGCCCACCGAGTGCGGGAATCAACTCACCCAGACCAAACTGAGCCGCTTGGATGACAATGTTTGCCTTGAACTGCTCAATCCCAGCGACAATGACTCCCAATAATTAATTCAATCAGAGTTGGCCCAGATTTTTTGACTCAACCACAAACGGCAACACCATTATAACTGAGGCCAACTGATGCTCAAATAGACGCGGTCCTTGCTGGCTTCACAGCCAGCACAGGGCTCAGGCACCCTGAGTCTGAGAAGCGGGCATCATTTGGCGTGGAAGCTGGTGCGCCATCACTGGAGCCTACATGCGCCTTGCCTGTTTTGCGAGCGCAGTTGACCTTGCTTGCTCTTTCATTGGCTTTTCCTTTTTGCGCTTGAGTATTTCAGGTTCTGGGGCAGCATCTTCATCAAGTGCAGGCGTTGCGCCAGCTGTCTCACCAAAACCGAAGCCCGAGCCAAAAGCGGCCAAGGCTAAGCCCAAGCCGCCTCCCAAGAGGCGGCGCAAAGCCTGACAGAAACCTGTCAATGAAAGCCAGACGAAATGGTCCACACGCAAGGGTTGGTTTGTTTGCTGGATAAGTATGAAGTTGCCAAAGTCACAACAAGTAGCCAGAAGCTCATCATGGGCTTTTCGAAAGAACATTTGCCCTTCTTTCGCGCATCCTTGATGACCAACCAACCTAGAATGCCATATTGCTCTGCGCAGTTTTCCAGTTGGCCCTTTGCCTTTGGCCAGCAGCAAGTATGTTTGTTTTCGTTTTCGGCCCCTGTCATGCTCGGAACGGCTTAGCACCTTTTTTTCATGCCAAGGCATCGCCATTGCGTCTTGCTTGTTTTGTTGCTTGTTCTTTTCTTGTGAGCTTCTCGTTCAACATATTCATTTTATGTTTGTGTTTCCTTCTGCTTTGTTTGTGACATATGGTCCTTTTTTGTTTGATGTTCTTGCTGCCTGTCCACTTCAGCTCTTGCTGTTTGCCACCCGGCCCAAGGCATTTTCTGATGTGGCACTGATCAGCAAACTTGCTCTTTTGGCGTGATTTGTTTGCATTTTCCCGTGTTTTTGATGCGCAAACAGGAGTCAAATTCCCTTAGCTTCCTTTAGCTTCCTTAAACTTCCTTTAGCTTCCTTCAGCTTCCTTTAGCTTCCTTTAGCTTCCTTTAGCTTCTCTTGTCTTCCTTTGCGCTTTTTTAGCTTCCTTTAGCTTTCTTTGGCTTCCTTTAGTTTCCTTGCCTTTTTCTGCTCATGCACACTGCGCTGCAGTAACCCCCTTTGCCCCCCCCCCAAACGAATACATGAAAATACCGTCCTTTGTTAGGGGTAAGCTTGGTATTTCGAGCGGGTGAATTAGAGGGTTGTTTGCGCTGAAGAACAAGAAGAGACAAGTGAACAGAAACAAGAATCGCTTCCACCCCAAACAGAGTTGCTCACAAGAGGGCGTCACAGCACTTCACGAAGAAGGAGACACTGCGCTAAATCACAAGTAAGTTTGACCCATGTTCCATCCCCAAATGGAGTGCTTGGCTTTCATAGCTGGGTGCTGAATAGAGGGTCTGGAAAAGTTGGAACGCTACCCACTCCTGTTTAGTTCCCTTTTGGGAAAATGACAATGATCGGCGATCCAAACTAGCACTCAAATGCACACTTCCTGAGAGGCGCCCTGAGAGGCGCCTGAACCTTTCTGTCAGCTCGAAATGTCTTTCCAAAGATTGATGTCCAGAAGCTCAGGGAGTAACCTGCATATCAAACACCTCAGCTCTTCTTTGCTATACAGTACTACCCAAAATGTACCCAACAGCCTCAGGGAGTACGGATATCGAAAACTTGACTTTGCGACTGCCATGCCTCACAACGATCCGCCGCGCCATTGCCAAGCAGGTCGCCCAGGACAAGTAACTGCTATCCTTTGGCCTTTGGCTTCCCTGGATAACACCGTGAAATAAGGGCACCAGCAAAAGCATGCCAAACATTGCTTGAATTTGGGCGGGACCCTTTTAGTGCCGCAAGGGGAGTCAAAGGCAGCAAACCCAAGTTTGAATATATAGACTATTCGTTCGATCTTGCAATTCCATAGAAGCACCATGTTGCTTTAAGAACTTCCAGTGTCTTTTTGTCGACAGACTGACGGAACCAACGGGAAGCGTTGCTGCACGTGTCCGCTGCGCTACGCTGAAGCCGACCTGCCAACCACTTCTGGCACATCACACCTGAAGGGAACCCACAATCCTCCTTCGCCTAGGGTGGAGGGGTCGATCCAGCTGGCCCAGGATTTTCACAAACCCTGGTTCATTTTGATCGGGAAGGTTGCTGGTTTCAGGCCTGTACCCACGGAGAGGACGAACTTCAAGACTCTCAGAGATTTTCCTTTGGGAGGAAGACAGGAATTCCAGGCTAGACTTGGGAAGATTTGGGAAGTCTGCTGAAACTGCGAACTTAAATTTTGCAGGATTTTGAACAAATGAGTTCCCAGTCATACGGTTCCCTTGCCGACGTGCCGACTTTTTGCTCTAAATCGCCTGTGGGATTTAGCGATGGATATGTCACGGCTTCGTTAAATTTGGATGAGAAGCCAGTTCTTGAAGTGCAGCGTTATTCTCCAACCACTCCAACCCCTGCAAATACCCCTGGCTTTTAGTTAGCATGATCTTGACCCCTCACAAGAAAAAGGAGGTTTTTGTCCATGACAACCTGGTTCCAAATATACCCACACAGAAGCGGGTATTTGCAGGATAGTGGGTGTTCCGTGTTGGTCTGAGTCGCGGTACTTGCCTGCTCGACGGAAGCCACGTTTCATGGGGAACACCCACGATCGGCCCAAATTCCAGGCACTGGATCAAACAGTTGTGTTTTTGTTTAGTTTGAGGGTCCCCCTGCTTTGCGGACGAAAATTGAAGGCAAGCCCCGATGTTCTGGGTCCCCAAAAAGAAACACAGCGAACGGGAATCGAGGGAGCCTTGCAAAACAGCGCAATCAACAATATTTAATAGTCGATCGAAGCTTCTACAGGCGTGGTTGCTTGTTTTGAGGTCCCTGGTTCCGGTGTTCAGCGCAAAAAAGGTCCATTTTCGGGGGGTTCAAAGGCTGAATGCACGTCCGAATATGAACCCACGGCCATTTTGGACCCCTTTGGGGGCGGATGGCCGTATTTAGACCATAGGTAACTCTTTATTGACCCAATACCAGGAGTCCATATGGAGGTATACATTCAGCTTTTGAGGGGAATATATTCGTCAACTTGACCGGACTTAGACCCCCTGCCAGAAGTTAAATGTTTCCCGTAAGGCAGAACGTTGGAAAAACCGTTGAACGGCAAACAGCTACAAAACGCAAGCAAAGTCTGGCCATGTCACAAGCCCAAGTCACCTCTCCCCCACTTTTCCTTCGCGAAACGGAAATTTGGCCTTGACCCGCTGCGCTTCGCGCAGTTCGATCTGGGCCCCTCACGACGCTCACCAGGTTCTTGTTGGGTCTACACAAGTTTTGTTCCTGGCTACAAAATCACCATGGCTAACTTTTTCCATGTGGTGAATAACATATCTTTGTGGTTTCCACTAGTCCGGCCAAGCAAACATAGCTTGCTAAACCTAAATCCGGGAAACACATGTTACGCCTTCAGCGACTAAGTGATTCCTTCATGACTTATACTTGCTGTATGTGCGAAACTATGCATAAGCATACAAATGCATGCAATAATGAGTCTGTTCTGCCTGTTCTGTCTGCGTGTCTGCCTTCTTGTCTGTCTGTCCGTTCGTCCGTCCGTCCGTCTGTGTGTTTCTGTCTGTCTGCCTGCCTGCCTGTGTCTGTCTGTCTGTCTGTCTGCCTGTCTGTCTATCTGTTTGACTGCGTGTCTGCGTGTCTGCTTGTCTGCTTCTGTTTGTCTGCTTGTCTGTTTGTCTGTTTGTCTGTCTATCTGTCTATCTGTCTGTCTGTCTGTCTGGCCGTCTGGCTGCTGGCTGTCTGAGTCTGTTTTCTCTCTGTCTCTGTCTCTCCGTGTCCGTGTCCGTCTCTGTCTGTCTGTCTGCCTGCCTGCCTGCCTGCTTACCTGCCTGCTTGTCTGTGTGTATGTATGTGTGTAGGCATGTGTGTAGGTATGTATGTAGGTATGTATGTCCGTACGTGCGCATTCATTCCTAAATTTATTAATGTTTGTATAACTCAATATTGATTTAGAGCCACAGCAAGGGGAACCAGGGCAAGGTATTAACCCTGAATGGTCCTCGATTGTCCCGACAAGCCACCAGCAGCCACTATTAAAGGCTGCATGTCTCCCTTGGCTAAGGCGCTGAATCGGTATCCTCTGCATCTTTACACGCATGCATTGTATCTATGTATTTGGGTATTGACTCTTGAGCACAGTTCGCACACTGCGTGGAATATTGAACCCACTTCACTGCCACGGCACACCATCCAAAGCTCCTCTGAAGATCAATGGGTGCAGGCTATCCCAACGACCACTTCATCACTTTGAAGAGGCTTCCTTGGCTTTAGAAAACCCCATCCCCATGTTAACAACCTTTTAGGGGGAAACAAAAGGACTCTCCACCCATTTCAGGGATTTTCCAAGTTCAGGAGCCCCCCTACTCAAAGTATCCACTCTTTTAGGATATATGTTTTACTATTTTAGCTGTAACTACTGCCTTCTTGAGTCAGGGGTCGACATAATACCCCAAACAGACAGCCATTTGGGGAGGTCCTGCCCAAATTTGATTTGACCACTCGGGCTACCGCCGGATCTTCACAAGGTGAAACGGTCACGGTCTCATGTGCGGCAAACGCAACGACACATCCTCAGTCGTTGCGCACAGCTCAACTGAGTCTGGCCAAAATAGTCGACCAAATGGTGGCTTCCTCTGAAACCATCCTGAACAATGGGCAGCTCACAAAAACCCACAGCCACGATCAAAACATGGTACTCACGGGGTCTGCCCCAGTGATGAATGAGATGCTGTCGCAATCAGACATGGCAAACAGGCCGTGAATTTGTTGAGTACTTTGATGTGAGCTGTACATCAAGTCGAGGGATCCCTTGCGGACGAATTCGAATCATGAAGACAAAGAATTGAAAGAGCTGGCCACTTCCTGTGTGGATGGGCCCAACTCATCTAGCTTAGGACAAAAATCGCAAAGTCCGCAAACTGAGCTCGAGACAGACTTGGACTTGGGCATGTCACCATCACCTGCCAAGGTGAAAACATGTCTTGCGAGCGTCAAGCATGCAACTGTGCAAAAAGTGTCTAGCCAAAACCCTTCTGCAGTTGCTGCATAAGTTTTGACTAGAAACCTTTTGTAGCATCATTTACCCGGGCATTTATGTCCCCGGAGCATTTGTGAAGGCGAACCCCCCTTTAAAAGGGCCAAGGCAAACGAATCTGCCTGGATCTTCAAGCTTCCCTTAAAACAGGGAATCCAACCACAATCATGGGGTTGCAATACCAACATTTGAGGGGCAGTTTGACAGTCTTGCTGCATTTTTGACTTGCCAATGCAATCAAAGATCACTAAGTTGTCGAACAAACCTGGGCGGTCTCTCTCATTCCCCCCCCCCCCGCCTGAACCACTGGCATTTCTTCGCAGGGCAGACCTTCTGGGCAAATTATCGTAATTCACCAACCGAAAAGGCCTTAAGTAGTGGCTTTGTTGGCCTGCAAATTGGGCGGAGGGTTTAGGGTGTGTCTTTTTTGAAATTGGTACCCCGAAAGGTTGCTGGAGACAGGGCGGTTGACGGCAAACCACCCGTGAGGGCTCACCTACTTTGAGACATACCCCATATCAGACACCCCTGGCTTTGGCCCCGCGGGTCTCCCCCGAAACGTGGCGTCACCAGATCGCGCCTTGCGCATGGCCGGCCGACTGCTTGATCTAAGCGCGTGGCGCACGTGCCAAACTCAGAACCCTCGCTACGTTTGCAGCCCCTTCAGTAACAATGAACAAGACCAAACAACTGGTGAAAGCAAAAGGGAAGCAAAGAAGAGAGAAGTATGACCACCTTTCTTGACCTGAGGAGTTTCATCATTCAAATGGAGTCCCAAGACCAGAATTGTGTGGGTTGAAGCATCGCGTCAAGCAGCTGGACCCTCAATGTATACCCTTCAAAATGCGCCACCCCATGAAAGCCGCTGAAAAACCACCCTCAAGCATGGGAACGGGCCATCACTTCACAAAAGCCGCTCAAACACCACCCTCGACTCGGTGACGTCCCGGTAGTGGTACCTAGAAGCAATGAACCCACCAATCACTGCAGCTGAGGCCGGCGCCGGCAGGGTATGCCTCACGGCGGGGTAGGGATCCATCCACTTGCCCAAAGCCGAAGTACCCGTATGGCATGAGAAACAAAAAGCCCCAGAGGCCTGCCCCGGCAGGGTGGCTAGAACCTGTGAGTTGCGATTCTTACAAGGATTCGTAGAACTGTGGGGGAAAGCCCGAAAACCCGCCCTTGTTCCATTTGGCTTGCAAACCAGTTTTTTCGGGACAGATATCCAGTATCCAGTCAAAGGTCGTGGGGTCACTCAAGACTTGGTGGCAGAATAGTCGGCAACCCTACACCATTTGCCATTCATATTCTTTTGTAGATCGGCAAACGAAACTGAGGATGCTAGGGATGATGGTGGATATATCCTGTGCGGGTTTTCAAAAGACCCAGACCCCAGTGCCATGGGAAAAAAATGGCACAACTCATCTTTGGTTGATTGTCCCAGGGAAATCCCAAGAAAGGAGGCCACTGGAGGTTTACTAGCCATGGCTTTGCGATCCGAGCTCCCGCGCGCCAAATGATGTAGCGCCTTAGGCTTCCCCATGGCCTGAGACAGCTGCCCCTTTTCAACATGCAGAAGCCGGACAGGTACGGAAATTGGGGGGACATGTACAGAAATCGGCGCGAAAGTACGGACATCTGCGGAAAAAGTACGAAAATCAGCACAACATTGGCTTGGAGAAATGCGCTCCTTTTGTCCTTTGTGATGATTGCACACATTCATTCGGCCCTTCGGCCCATGCACGACAAGCTCCAGTGCCAGGGCCGGAGCTGCCCGTCAGATTCTGGTAGCAAAAAGCAGTTGAAGTCTCACAATGTGTTGTTTTTTTAGCCAGCAAGGAACATACTTTGTTCACTCAAATGTATGGATTAAATTGCACGGACTTGTTCCCACATTCGCAAAAAAACACGCTCCCTTGGAGGGATGCATGCGCGTATTTGTTGCGGTCTGGTACGTCTTGGTTTGCATCAAGTTTCATGGCATCATGGCATGTGGTCCTTGGCTGGAGGTGCTGCGTCCACGAATAGTACCCTAATCTAAGCACTCACGTAGTTGTCATGTCTCTGTCTTGGTTCTGTGTCAAGGGGGGCATGCTGGACCATTGACTCAACCGCAGCTTCTGTGCAGCGATTCATCGCTGAGAATTCGGTCAGCTGTTGACCTACGCTGTTGGACAGTGACGGTTTCCGACCATCAACGAACAATCAAGTTGAGAGTTGATCACGTTTGGCAAAAAACACATAGTAAAAGTTCAGTTCGAAAGTTTCAAGTTGGACAAGTCAGTTCGTCTGTTCCTGCCAGGGAGTGAACGCTTCACTTGGCCGGCCTGTCCGAGCTTGGACTGCTTCTGCAGCCGAATGGCTGCAATCTCCTGTTCGCGCGTGGCCAACGGCCCCAAAACTCGCGAAAACCCCAACGCTTCGACCACCAAAATGATGGACTCGATTGGGTGGCTTGTCTTTTTTGGAGGGTACCCCTCTGTTGGTAGGTGTTCAAAACAAAAGCAAGAGGAAATCCAAGCATTGGATCTCAAACCCATTCAGATCCTCAGCAAAGTCTTAAAACTCACCAACCGACTCCCATGAAAGAGACCTTCATGGGCGACGTCGCAACCCCCCCCCCCCCCCCGAACGGGTAGGTCGCTCAGTTAGCTGAGGTCGCTACAGTTAGCTCAAAATGTGCAGGCAACCCCGGATAAGCTCAGATTCACGAGGCACCCCCAAGTTGGCGGTGCTGTTGAACATACAGAGTTGCTGCGAAGACCCTGGCACAAAAGATCACAAAAGCATCAAGAGTTGGCCCCTAGTAAAACCAAAGCAAACCAAACAATTGTTCCACCTTGGTGGTTTGACCATCCTGGGGGCTCGGAGCACTCCTGTTTTACTCGCAACATCAAAGGCTGAGGGGTTGGAACAACGAAAGCAAGCGTACCCCGCGGCCAAGCAACTAGGAGTAAGCCTTGGGTCCACATGGGCAAACGAACTCCTACAAGTAGCTGCTGCGGTTGACAACGATGTTGGTTTTAGCTCCAGTAAGGCCTGTTTGACCTTAGACAAGAATCGCTTCAACAGAAACTTGGAGCCCCAAATGGGGTCTAACACCTTGTCCCGGAGATCCTTGTTACAGGATTCCATTGGCAAATGTCAATTGTTGAACGATTCCGCTGAGCTAACCGTTGATGGAGATCGCAACAAACCAAATAGTGGAGCTGCCTTCGAAAACATGTGTAGCTGCCTTCGTCCCTCGCCTCCCACCCCTTGTCTAACCATAGTTGTCCTTTCGAACATAGGTGGCACTGGTCAATGAGTAGAACCAAGCCAAACACAGATTCCAGCCATCAATGGTTGACTAAGGCGTTCTAAGAGAAGCCACAACCCCCATTGAAATCATGGCCGCCAAGGACCCAATTCAGATGATGAAACTCCTGATTCATGCGGTAAATAGTGGTGCTTCTGATACGCCATGGTTTTCTCATGGAATCGAATCCCAGGGTCGAAGGTGCCAAAACATACACAAAACTTACGCCGAACAGCGGGTCCAAAGGTCCCGGGCAACCTGACATTTGGTTAATCCCAACCTGAAACAAGTTGGGCGCCCTGCTGGGTCTGTCTTTTTGAGGGCTCCGTTGGGGACCAGTTGGTCGTCCACAAAATAAATTACTCATGTGGAAACCAAATGACTTTTTAAGAGCACTTCTCTGTAGGGAATGCCACCAAAAACAGCGAGCATACAGACAGGCTGGTGAGCAAACAGGAACGTCCAAAAAACGGATCTTATGAATTCTCAAAATGACCCCATGGGTACCTAGCAAAGGGTACCTTCAAACGAGGCACATCCGTGTGGATCGATTGATCTTCTCATTGTAAAACTCCATTCCCGAATCTGTTTCTGAGACACCCGGAAAAAAAAGAGCTACGAAGCAAAAACAAACATGATTCCGCAGGATTTGGCCAAAATTCCAGTTCTTGCGGGTATTGGCTACCATTATGATCATTATTGTCACCCATAGTTCATTTCAACAACCACCCTAGCTCCCTCCGCATGGCTGTCCGATATAGCTCTTTCTCTAATACCGAGATTGGCCATCCCCAAGACTACTTCACATTCATGGCGCTTCCCCGAGCATATCACAAAAAGCTGCATTCCCCAAAACCAACCATTTTCCATGTCCATAGCACTCACCAAGCAAAACTAGCATAGATGGAAGTATCGGGCCAAACGCACAAAACAATTCCTTTCCCCTTCAGCCATGGTTCCCTCCGCTCAAATTCAAGCGCTGGCCCAGTCCAGTCTCTGCCGCTCCACAGCATCTTCGAGCAGATGTACACGTTGGCTGTCCTCGCCGGACGTGATTCATGATGGTGCTCAATGTTTGGAAGTACCCGTGTGTTGGGTTGGTTCGTTAAAATCAAAACCAATTGGACCAAACAACCAGAACAACAATGTGTGTTGTGTTGGGGGGGGGGTCCCACATTGTGCTGACCGGCGGCCCCTCCAATACTGAAAGGGGGACCCTCCCAATCAACATCCACCAGGGGTTGTACTTAGATCCGGGGGTCGGCCACATACTCTGCGCTTCAACTCGCGCAAAGCATTTCAGCTGAACTCTTCCGGAGTTTTGCAAACGTTGTGAATCTACTGCGCACGCACCCCGAATCCCTGGTAACCTATGGTAACACCAGGAGCCCCGTGTCCTATCCAAAACAAAAGATCATGGACCCCCAAAGGGGGCTGTGGGGAGGGGGGGCTATCCCTTATTAAGCCCTTAAGGCCTTAAGGGCTTATCCTTGGCTTATCCTTGGCTTCAGGGATAGCCCCTCCCCCCCCATAGCCCCCCCCCCGAAGATTCCATGAAAAGCATCTTCTCAAAGCAATCGCTGCATTCGCTGGCATGATTTCAGTATTATCCTGTCCAGCTCTGGTGAGATGAATCAAAATTACCCTGGCCCGGGTCTGTGGTCTTGAGGAAAAGCCTCAAGAACCCCTTCCTAAACTGGCTCCCGGTCCAAATCCCAAGTTTCTCCAAGGGGAAACCAACATGAAACCACCCAGTTGCTTCTTTGATGGTCCCCTATTTGGGTGCATCTCCAAATAGGGAACATGCAAATTGGTTCTTGTCCTTTGGACTCCTGTTTAGACCACACCAAAAAAAAAAAAAACGGGTCACCCTCAACACAAAGACAAAAGCTCAAGCTCCAAATCCCACTCTGGATCGGCTGCCAGTCCGGTGGCTTGAATGATTGTTGAATTTCCAAGGCGGTCGCCCCACAAGTGGCAGGCTAAAGGGAAACCACCCCGGTTTCTGATTTTGATCACCAACTGTCAACTAGCGACCCTAGCCAAAACGATGCAAAGTCCAAGTCCCGGAGTGAGGGGTTATTTCTATGGGCGTGTCTGTTTTATAGGCTACCCCCTTTTTCAATTTGTGTTTTCCTTCAAAAGCCACCAAAACACAGGAGGTCCCACCAACAAAACGACACACTACTATATTTAGTACGTGTTTCTTTTCCCTGTTGGCTTTGAAGGGAATGTATCACTGGACATATGCGTAATTATTTGTAGCACTGGAAAGCAGACCCCTACATTCTTTCCCCGGTTGGATGTGAGTGTATCACTGGAAAATATGTACCTGGAGTCTCAAACCACCCCAAATTTTTGGGGCAAAATGTAAAGAATGGCATTCTTTGTCGAAACACCTTTTCTTGAACAAAACACCTTTTTTTGGTTCTGTGCCAAGTAAAGCCCTGAAAGTCCATCAGCAGATTTGTTTAACGGTGTTGTCACGATAAGCGGTGTTCTTTGGGCCGTTGCTGTTCACTGTGCAGGGCTTGCTTGAAAGATGCAAGTGCCAATTCAAGCAGCGGCGCGGACCTTGCTGTCACCCAATGTAAAACCTCCTGGTTCAGCTCAGCTGCTCAATGCCTTTGATGATGGAATGAAATAAATCATCAAACATAATTTTGACCTTGGCCCAAACGGCTTGAATGCCAACGCAACACAAGGGAAAACAAAAGCCGCGTTATTAGCCTTGCATTTATGTGTGAGACAAAGCACAAGTTGAGAAGGCTGCCCCGTTGCGTGTTGTTTAGCATTGGAGCCGATCACTGAGTCGCAAAGCATCCAAGTCAGGTGTTTCCTTTGGAAGCGAGCAGGTGGCTTGGTGCACCACAACTCAAACTGATGTTTAGGAGGGCGCTGCGACAATGCAAAGAACCGACATCACTTAAACAGGAGTTAGACATTTCGAGTTGTTTCTTCTAGTGTGTGCGGTGTGCTTTGCGCGGCACACATCACAAACGGTTTTTCATGGCAAAACCCGGTCTTCGTCTTCTAGTGGCTTGAAACAGTGTGTCATGCGCAGTTCACCGCATGTTCATGTAATGTCACCCTACTTTCACGACAGTAGAGTCCAAGAAGGTACAACTTCAATGAACACATATTGTCGCACCAAATTCAGAAGGATAGCTTTCGCAGATTTTGTAGCAGCGCGATGGGAGTGATTCCGTATTTGCCCACAGCTCTGTGCCCTTGGGCCATGTGCCCAAAGTTGTTTCAATCTACAAACAACACAAGAAACATCTCAATTAAGCATGATGTACGATACTTTGCAAATTCGGGTATGTTCAGTTTCACCATGCCTCCTAGATGATCAAGTTCACATGTTGCTTCAACTCTTCAACTGTGGTTCTCTGGCTAATGCGACTCAGCGCAACATGTACCAGTTGCCCTTAAAGTTGATGCCGTGAAGCAAGCATATTGCTTTTAAGCTTTGCTCACAGCGCTAAACTGCCCCAAGACCCTCACTGTTACAGCCAAAGGGTCCAGTATTTATATGATAACAGGCAAGCTTGCAAGGCATGCTACAGTATTCTGCGAACAATAGCTGTCACTGGCAATTGAATGGTCGTTCCGTAACGTCCACCTAGGATTAAACATTGCACCTGGAATAAAGACAAATGGGTGGCTCCCCCAAAAATGCACCTGGAATAAAGACAAGCACCCGCCACCCCCGCCCAAATTTTCTGAACGAAAAGTATAAGAAACATGACGAAATGGAACAAACAGAGAAAGAAGAGAAGAGGTAGCCAAGCCAACACCTGGTCCTTAGATCTTTGGCACCTTGTTCTTCAGCTCCCCAAAAATCAAACTGTCCAGCTGCCCAAGAAGTCATGGTTTCTTACACGTCTCTTGTTTAAAAACTGCCCGCAATCAAACCTGCAAAGGGGGTGGGTAGTACTTCAGGCCCCCAAACTTGAGCCCAAGACTTGATTTCAGGGGCCCCTACAATAAAGTCTTGTTGTCTGGCCCCCTGCAAATATACAACTAGCCCAGTGTAACTACCTATGAAGCTCCGGGCTTTGTTGTTAGATTTGTGCCTGCTTCCCAAAATCAAACATGTCCAGCTTCCCCAAGCTCTTGTTTTCTTGCATAACTGCCTACAACCAAACCCACAAACAACCTAGTACTTCAGAAACTTCACCCCCAATTTGACATTATTTCAACGGCCTCTGAAATAAATTCTTGTTGCCTGCCCGCGGCTGCCCGCGTCCAAAAAAGTATCAAAAGGAAGCTCCAGCAATACAAAATCAATTGGAAACTAAGTTCCAGATCTCAAAAGGAAGCTCCAGCAATGCAAAATCAAATAGCAACTCCATTCCAAATCTCAAAAGGAAGCTCCAATGCTAAATCAAATGGAAACTCAATTCCAGATCTCAAAAGGAAGCTCCAGCAAGGCTAAATCTTATGGAAACTCAGTTCCAAATCTCAAAAGGAAGCTCCAGGAATGCTAAATCAAATAGAAACTCAAATGCAAATCTCAAAAGGAAGCTCCAGCAATACTAAGTCAAATGGAAACTCAATTCCAAATCTCTAAATCAATCAGAAACTCAAATACAAATCTCAAAAGGAAGCTCCAGCAATACTAAATCAAATGGAAATTCAAGTCTAATTACCAATAATTACTAAAGCAAATGGAAGCAACATTGAACTGGATCTCAAGAGATTATTCTAGGCACCCCCTTTGTTGGGGTGGGGGAGGGCCCCCCCTTTACTAATCCCAGGTGGACATTTCTCCGCACAAAGACCATTTACAGGACATTGCTCCGAACATAGTTCGGATAGGTGGACAGGGTCCGGGCGGGCGGACGCGTCCGGACGCGTCCGGACGAGAAAAACATACAAAAAAACCTTTTCTATTTAAAACACCTTTTTTTGTTTTGGGCGTCCAGCGGGGCGTCCGAAAAGGCGTATTTAGGCGTCCAAAAGGCGTATTTAAGCGTCCGTCCGGACTAGTCCGAACCAAAACACCTTTTTTTGAAAACAAACACTTTTTTTGATAGTCTGGGCCCGTCCGGACCTATCCACCCGTCCGGACCCGTCCGGGCCGTCCAACCGGTCCGGCGAACCCTGTCCACCTATCCGGACTATGTTCGGAGTAATGTCCTTTAAATGGTCTTTGTTCGGAGTAATGTCCGCCTGGGAGTAGTAAAGGGGGGGCCCTCTCCCCCCCAACAAAGGGGGTGCCTAGAAAAATCTCTTGAGATCCAGTTCAATTTTGCTTCCATTTGCTTTAGTATTGGTAGGCTTAAGTTTCCATTTAATTTAGTATTGCTAGAGCTTCCTTTTGAGATCTGGAATGGAGTTTCGATTTGATTTAGTATTGCTGCAGCTTCCTTTTGAGATCTGGAACTGAGTTTCCATTTGATTTAGTATTGCTGGAGCTTCCTTTGAGATTTGGAAATTGGTTCCATTCGACTTAGCATTGCTGGAGCTTCCTTTTGAGATCTGGAACTGAGTTTCCATAAGATTTAGTATTGCTGGAGTTTCCTTTTGAGACTTGGAATTGAGTTTCCATTTGATTTAGCATTGGAGCTTCCTTTTGAGATCTGGAACTGAGTTTCCATTTGATTTAGCATTGGAGCTTTCTTTTGCGATTTGGAATGGAGTTGCTATTTGATTTTGCATTGCTGGAGCTTCCTTTTGAGATCTGGAACTTGGTTTCCATTTGATTTTGTATTGCTGGAGCTTCCTCTTGATATTTTTTTGGACGCGGGCAGCCGCGGGCAGGCAACAAGACTTTATTTCAGGGGCCGCTGAAATAATGTCAAATTGGGGGTGAAGTACTAGGTTGTTTGTGGGTTTGGTTGTAGGCAGTTTTTAAACAAGAGACATGCAAGAAAACAAGAGCTTGGGGAAGCTGGACATGTTCGATTTTGGGAAGCAGGCCCAAATCTAACAACAAAGCCCGGAGCTTCATAGGTAGTTGCGCTGGGCTAGTTGTATATTTGCAGGGGGCCAGACAACAAGACTTTATTGTAGGGGCCCCCGAAATAAAGTCTTGGGCTCAAGTTTGGGGGCCTGAAGCACTACCCACCCCCTTTGCAGGTTTGATTGCGGGCAGTTTTTAAACAAGAGACATGTAAGAAACCATGACTTCTTGGGCAGCTGGACAGTTTGATTTTTGGGGAGCTGAAGAACAAGGTACCAAAGATCTAAGGACCAGGTGTTGGCTTGGCTACATCTCCTCTTCTTTCTCTTTTTGTCCATTTTGTCATGTTTCTTATACTTTTCGTTCAGAACATTTGGGCGGGGGTGGCGGGTGCTTGTCTTTATTCCAGGTGCAATGTTTAATCCTAGGTGGACGTTACGGAACGACCATTCAATTGCCAGTGGCAGCTATTGTTCGCAGAATACTGAGCTTACGGAACGACCATTCAATTGCTAGTGACAGCTACTGTTCGCAGAATGGCAGGTGTTGCAAGCTTGCCTGCTATCATATAAAGACTGGGCTGTATGCTTGCTTCAGGACATCAACTTTAAGGGCAACTGGTACATGTTGCGCTGAATCGCATTAGCCAGAGAACCACCGTTGAAGCAACATGTGAACTTGATCATCTAGGAGGCATGGTGAAACAGAACATACATCATGCTTAATTGAGATGTTTCTTGTGTTGTTTGTAGATTGAAACAAGTTTGGGCACATGGCCCAAGGGCACAGAGCTGTGGACAAATGCGGAATCACTCCCATCGCGCTGCTACAAAATCTGCGAAAGCTATCCTTCTCAATTTGTTGCGACAATATTTGTTCATTGAAATTATACCTTCTTGGACTCTACTGTCGTGAAAGTAGAGTGACATTACATGAGCATGCGGTGAACTGCACATGGCACACTGTTTCAAGCCATTAGAAGATTGGGTTTTGCCATGAAAGACCGTTTGTGATGTGTGCCGCGCAAAGCACACCGCACACACTAGAAGAAACAACTCGAAATGTCTAACTCCTGTTTTAAGGGATGTTGGTTCTTTGCATTGTTGCAGCGCCCTCCTAAACATCAGTTTGAGTTGTGGTGCACCAACCCACCTGCTCGCTTCCAAAGGAAACCTGGTTTGGATGCCTTGCGGCTCAGTGATCGGCTCCAACACTAGGCAGCACGCAACGGCGCAGCCTTCTGAACTTGTGCAACTCACAAATGCTTTTCTCACACAAAAATGCAAGGCTAATATCGCGGCTTTTGTTTTCCCTTGTGTTGTGTTGGCATTCAAGCCGTTTGGGCCAAGGTCAAATTATGTTTGATGATTTCTTCCATGCCAACATCAAAGGCATTGCGCAGCTGAGCTGAACCTGGAGGTTTGACATTGGGTGACAGCAAGGTCCGCGCCGCTGCTTGGCTTGGCACTTGTATCTTTCAAGCAAGCCCTGCGCAGTGAACAACAACGTTGTTAACTCAAACAAGTTAAACACACCGCTAGAGAAATTGCAGGGTTGACAAAGCAGCGCATGGAAAAAAAAACACCCAAACATGGAACTAACACCCCCAAAAAATGACAAAACACCCCAAAAATGAATGCAACACAGCACCACCCCAAAAACGAAGGGTGATTGAGGGTCCAGGTAATTAGTATCACCGGTTAGGTCCCCGAGCCCTACGGGGCGATTGTGCCAGAAGCCAAAACAAAAGCCCTCCGCTGCCTTCATCCTCTGCCGCTCCAGCTTCTCGTTCCGCCGGCGCTGGGCAGCCAACTCCTCCTGAGCGGACATATTTGGCGAAGAGCGACCTGTTGTTTTGTTTACCACGGGCCCAGACGAGCTACCCAGAAAATGGGGGGTTAGTCACACCAGAAAAAAAGAGGGTCGTTTGAGGGTCCAGGTAGTAAGAAGGGGAAGAGTAAAGGGGCCAAGAAGGTATGGAAAGTGTGGCAACGAAGGGTGACCTTGGGCATTCTGGATCTGAACCCCCAGAGCCTGTACATACCTTGGACTTTGGCCCATGGACTCCGGCGTCCAAAGAGCTCCAACTAGCTTCTGCCCATGGCCCCCTTGCCCCCCGCATCTTTCCGCCCGGAGCCCAGGGCCCAGAGGCTTCTCGGAGTCCGCTCCGATTGCCCCGGAACCCAAGAGTCGAGACTCTAGGCAAGCTGGCCAAAAGACAAGCAGGTCTCGCCCAGAAACAAACCAGCCCCAGCGATTTCGAGTACCTCTACTTTCTTGCCCCAACGAATTATCAAGTTCCGTACAAGGGGGTATTTACTGGGGGGAAAGAGATTCTGGTAGCTCAACGAAGGCCTACAACTGAAAGTAAGAGGGCGAAGGGCGACCTATGGCGAGATGCGCAGACCAACCGCATAAAGGTCCCTTACAAGGCAACCCGGAATCCTTTTGATCTAAAGCCCGGCTGGAACACGGAAAACGAGCCAGCAACGCATGATCATGCCCTACGCACGTGGCAGCGCGCAACAATGCAAGAAATATTGTGTTGAAACCCGACTGGAACACAAAACTCCCCGTGCCCTGAGTCCATGGGATTGTGCGCTGCACACTTTACACACAAGCTTGCTTGCGTTCTGCGCCCCTTCTCCAATACAACAATCAGGCCTTCAATTCTCTTACATTGAACGCGCACAAATGGAAGAGGAAAAGCCGAGCTGTGTTCTGGGCATGAAAAACACGTGGGCCCCGAAACGTGCCTCTGCAAGAACGCCCCCCCCCCCCGGCCGCGCCTGCGCCGCGCGCAGCGCACGCGCCAGCTCGCCCCGGGACGGCGAGGCCGCGCCCCGACTGGAGTGGCTAGAGTTAAAATGGGCCGAGGGCCGAACAAAAGCCAGGGGATCCCAATCACCTGGCTAGTAGGTAACCACTGGGCTGTCCTCAGATCCCCTGCTAAAAGTGACTAACTTTTAGTGGGTTAAATGGAAACCCCACTAAACACTAAAAGGCTTTAAAAAAAAAGGCTAAGGGGATGGCTGGGAACCACCAAGACTAGGTTACCAGTCATGTTCCTTTGAGTTTTTACAGGGTTGTTTCCTTGGCTATCTTTGTTCCATACATGGAAATGGAACTGGGTAAGGAGCTGCGTCATCTCAATTGAAGTGGGTCTTAGGGCCATTACTTCATTCTAATTGCTGGACTTGTAGCCTGACACCAAGAAACTGCTGTGCAGAGCTCAAGTTGGGCGGGCTGCCACAAATCAAAGTGGTAGAGGACCCACTAAAAAACACCAATTTGAAGGGGGTCCAATTCCTATGGGAAATGCCCAAAGAACTGGCTACCGACTGTAGTGGCAACTGTCCACTGGTCCATAGTCTTGGAGTTCCGCTTGACTTCCTCAACAACAAGGGGCATCCAGCGAAGTTCACTCGCGGAGCGAGCTCTAGTTAGAACCTTCCATCGGAAGTGCAAGTAACAGGCTGAGCTGTCCTGTCGAGAAAAACAGGTTTTGTGCAAGGCTCAGACCAGCATATCCCTCGACTTGTGCTGGCACCCATTCTAGGTGGGAACAGATCCATTTCCCTATTCAGTAAGTAATCAAAGGGGCTTCCCACCCGCGAAACACGAACAGGAACATGCCGAAGGGTTACCTACTAACATACTGGCAAAACACCTTGGATCCACTAGGAACAGTAAAGACAAGACGTCAAGGCTTCCCGTCTCACTTCGGGTGTGAATGGCTTACCGCTTTTTCAGGCACGAGTTCACCCCCGACTAAACAAAAACAACTTGGTTACGCTGAAAAAAGCTCGTGACGGTATTTGGACATGTCTTTTTGTTGAGGGTAACAGGTAACCCCCTTTTTGGTTGGTATTAGTGCTACAGCATAAAAAGGAACGCCAATCCATTTCCCAACCAAAAAAAAAAGAACACCCCCATTGGTGCCTCCCAAGAAGCTCACATGCCCATACATTCCTCTTGGAATGCCCAACCGGTTTCAACCGTAGGAACCACCCGGGGGTTTTCAGGCGAAAACTCCCTCCTGGAAGAGCTGGACAATGCCTGGCTCGGCTTCAGGAATCGCAGATGTCCATTTTTTGCGGGGGTTCGGCCCCCTTGATTTGCGGGCAAGAACACAGCTCAAGGCATACCTCGTGACCTCCAAGCACTGAATCCGAGTTGCCCAACAACTTGTTTGAGGTGTGATGAATTGAAGCCTTCAGCTAAGCCATGCCCAGTGCTTTGCCGGCGAGCCTTTCTAGAACCCGCGGAAGCCATCAGCCTAGAGGTAAGAAATGGAAGCGATCTTGAAATACCCATGAGCTGAATTTCACTCGGAAAGGGAATTTTAAAGACCCCTGTTCAACACCACAAACCAGGTCAGAAGACAAACCAGGAAGTACTAGCAGCACATGTGGCACCACGCAATACTCCTATGACACAACATGTGAGTTCGGTGTTCCCAATCAGGATCGTACGCCACGTGTTTCGCCGTGTTTTGCCAGATGCTGCACAGTCCAACATCAAATGCGACACCAGCTTGCAAAGAAGCCAAAGGGGAGCCCATGAATTGGTCGGATCCCATTTGGAGACAAGCCGCCACTGAGCAAATGACCAAAACCACGGGCAGTCTGAAAAACAGAAGCTTGGGGTGGACCGAACAGTTATAAAATCAGGTCTGGTCATCTCAGGCCTAAAGGAAGGTCGCTGAAACTGCTCGCCTGCTCCAAATCCATGGGGGCCTCACTAGGGCCTCACTACAATCCGCAATCCGCTTAATCCGTGTTCTGCTTAATCCGTGCTCTGGTTGGTAATCTTCTTAATCTGTAATCCGCGCTGTAAATTGTGGGTCAAAACCGTATGTTAGAGCACGGGAAATCTATGCAACCCAAAATCCGTAATGCGCAAACCGCACAGTCGAATCCGAAAACCGCATAATCCGCAATGCACTAATCATTGGGGATTGGGTTTTGAACAAGCTACTGTATTTGCAAACAACCTTGGACCCTCAAACAAGCCTTAGACGCATTGCCTTAAGATTCTGGGCTGAGTTCCCTTTTTTCAGGGTAGTTGGCATTCGGCGTGTATAGTTGTTCATGGCCAGGAACTGAACTTTTTGAGCCACCAACCCCTTTTTTTGTTTGCAGGACAAGCCCAGGTACTCCAATGGACTAGAGCCGCAAGAGCCCTCATGCATAGCTTCAGCTTCTCTCCAATTCATGTTCGGAACTGTTGCAGGGTTTCCCATGTCCCTGGAATTTTCATGACCCTTTCAATTGGGTTCACACTGCAATCCATGGGCAGCAGGTTTTTCCCTTTCAGCTTGGTGCTCAGCGGGAAATGAGGGAATGAACCTAGGGAAATTCCCTCAAAGGAAGCCACCAGGGATGGTTTGTAGGGGTCATTCCATTTCCCATTCTTCCCGAAAGGAAACCACAAAAATAGTGGTCATTCCATTTCTCATTCCCTGCATCGCTCGCACCAGCGAGTAAAACAACCACATGGTGAGCCTCAACCACCTGGTTTCCACGAAAACCGCAAATCCGAGGAATCCACTTCGATTCGAATCGCCTCCAAGGCCTCTTGGGTAAGGCGCTCCTCCGCCTCTCAAATGGGACATCCCATGTGCATCCGCATATTTGTTTCAGGGTCTCATTTGATTTTGACCGTGTTTTTCTTTGTTTTAGCGGTCTCATTTGAGATTGTCGTTTGGTTTTAAGGGTCCCAATTGATTTTGATTGTGTGCGTGATTTTTGTTGAGGGGACCCGAAATGGTGGACCCTGCTTTGATTTTGCCTCACTTTTTTTTAGTGTCTCAGGATTTTGTTTTTGTTTAAATAAGTTTCTTTTCTTAATAAGGGTGACCCGAAATGGTGGACACTGGGACTCACGCCCACCAACGCTGGAGGTTCCTCATTCAAACTCAAACTCGGGGAGTGAGGACCCAGCACCCTCAAACTAGTCTGCAATACTCGCGTTTGTTGAAGGTGCTGTGTCTCTTGGTAGCTTTTCCTTCACCCCACACGTACCTCCATTTCCCCTTCATGGATTCCTCATTTTAGCTGAGCTTGGGGGCTAAGTTTCCTCAGTGGACCAATTCCTCCTTAAATCATCACCCCGAAAGGAAGGTCACTGTAAGTTGGGCTCTGGTAAAGTTTACAGGTGACTACCATGCGAAAGCCGTTGCTTTGCTTCACAACAGGCTACACAACGCGGGCATTTGAAGCTTTCGGGCGCTGCAAGGCCCAGGAAAGGAACCTTTGAGCTTTGCATACTCTCAACTCCAAATCGAGTTTCAGTTGGTGTGTGAAGAACCAGCTGGCTGTGGGTCACAACCAATGGTAGCATTTTGGGGTAGGTACGCCACCCATTTTAGTCTATTTTAGTGGGGATTGGGATGTTCACTGTGGGTACGAGCTTTTGACCCATGACCAGCTTGTCCATGCAAAATAACTCCTGTCAGGGGCTCACATCATCATTTCACATGATACCCAAAAAGCGGGTATCTGGAGGGAAGCAAGCAATGCACCCCATGGAAGCATCGCCCTCTGTCGGAGTCTGCCAAAACCCAAAGGCTCACGACTGCCTGGGCGTTGAGAAAGAAGAAAATGCTTTTAGCGGTCCCTTTTCTTTTTTTGGGGGGGCTCGACAACTTTTTCTCCCAAGCGTCCAAACCAAGTCCAAAACACCAAAAGCAGAAACCCTGCAGTCCAAAACACCAAAAGCAGAAACCCTGCTTGCAACATGCTGGAACCTCCAACTTCTGTACTTTCCCTTCGGCACCTGACAAGAACCACCCCCCAGGGAGCCGGATCGGCTTTCCAGTTCTTGCAAAAAACGACAAAGGCACTCGCCTTTGGTGTGCTTTGGTGGCTGGTCTCCTTTGGGTTTCCCTAAACCATCCAAAAATGGGCTCCCGGAATTCATCTAGTCCTCTTCATAGAGGAAATGGAGCCAATGGTGGATGCCCTCCCCCAATTCCATGTTTCAGGGGGTGGGGAGTCTCCATCACAAAAACTGCCGATGGGCCAACTCAATAAGCTCAGGAGCTTGAGATAAGAACCAACATCAATTAAGAGGGACCCGTCTGGCCCGCCGCTTGTTTCCCGAGACGTTTGGTTCTAGCATGGAGGTGTGGATCTCAGCTATTAGTAAAGTCATCGGCAACCTGCTGTTGAAGGGTTGCATTGGTTGCCTATCTGAAGTCACCGGGCAAGTTTTACTACCATGAACTGTGGTGGGTTTGTATTTTGGCGAGGGTAGTTAATTACCCCTTTTGGAGTGGGGCTTAAAGAGAAGCCAAAGCAAACCAGCCAGTGTGGGCTGTCCCGTTGTCACAAAAAAACAGCCAGGTAGGAAAACCGGACGGGCGCTCCCACTCGGCCGAGTGGGACAGCTGGGCCCTCCCGCGCTCACATCGGGCTTCCCTGAGCCGGCTCGGGGGACCGCGAGGGATCAACGAGAACCGTTTCGGATGGCACCAGGGAGGTAACCTTTGGGCGAGTGAAAGGGATGATGAATCTTACGATTGAATCGCTTAAACTTGGGAAAGCGATCCATGCAAAAACTGGAGGTCAAATTCCTTGCCTGCAAAGACTCACAACTGGTCAGACCGACCTTCCCAGGAAAGGTCTGCGAGCGATATCGGTTTCAGATTTTGCCGTGATGCCGATTCCACACGTGTCCAATGAAATGGTTGTTTTCACATACGTATATTTGTCTGCCCATGCAAATGTCCTGGTAATAATATTGGTTGGCTGGCGGTGTTGTCACGAAATCTAAGTCAAATGGCTAGTTTAACTGGGATTTTCAACATCCGGATGGATGGGACGGATGAGAATAATTCATGAAAACCACAATCGGCCTTGGTTGATCAAGTGAATGCCGCATCAAGCACTGAGCTGAAATGATGTAACGAGGCCATCGAGTCAAAGCAGTGCACCGCAGGCACAAACTGCTCTTCTGCCACCTCCGAGAGCTCACCCTTCGGATGCACCCCTGACCAAAAAACGCAGCCTAAGGCGTGAAAGGCGAAGTACAGGATGCATGGCCCAGGCCTCGAAGCTCACGCCAACCGCTGGTTCTCCACATGTCTTAATTCGCTTTCGAGATCCTTTGGGAAACCGAAACAAGACTGGACGCTGGTGGAAAAACCACAAACACTTCCATGTGCTGAAACCCCCGGAACAAGTAACATTTTCAGTAGTGATTGCTCCCCCTTGCAAACCAACAAGCAAAAAGCAAGCATTATTAAGCAAGTGTAAAAACAAACAAAAAACAGACCATCTCGAAGCCATTGCAGTCGCATCGCAGCCAGTTCAGTGTGGAGATGTCTCCCAGATTCAGGAGGACCCTCTGGAGAGGTCAGGATCCCGAGTAGGGGCCTTTGGGCCCCAAAAAGGTCCAAATCGGAGGCACTAAGATTCCTAGAGATTGCCAGACAAACTGATACTCCCGGTCGAGCATGGGTAGGGTGACAAAGGTCCTTGGGTCATACGGTCGGTCCGAAGTGTTGGATATTCAGCCTTCTTGGTAGGTGATGGCCCGGGTTATCAGCGGAGGAAAAGGCTTGGTAGACAAAGCCATGGCTATACCCTACCTGCCCGACGTTGAAGATCCTAAGCGCCGGTGTCCGTTCAGCTTCCATTTGACAAATTCGAGACGAAGCCAGGCGGTGGAATTTTATGGAACCTGCTTCCCCCCCTGGAAGAAAAGGCGCTCCAGTCACTAGGAGGGCAATGGGCTACACTGGAAACCGGGGACCCTGTTTGTTGGCGGTGGCTTCAGCCGACCCCAAAACGAAAATGTTACTTGAAAGGGAGCAACCCGCTACAGGTCTGACCACATCTGGTGTGAAATTAGCTGGGAATACGTACAGTGCATCAACCTTTACTCCAGGCTCGACTCCAGGAAGGGCAACGAGTAATGAAAAATGGCCCATGTGACTCCATCTTGGGTGAATCTGGGGACCGAAAGTAAGACTTCCGGATTCAGATCGTTTGACTACCTCAGCCCGGCTGATCCATCTATACGCCTTGCTATCGTGGCAACTGGCATCCCCTAACCTTCCGGCCTGGGCCCTCCGGGTCAGGGCGATCGATCTGCTCATGGCGCAGCTTCCTGCTTTCCCAAGTCGCTTGCTTGGATCTTTCTCCATGGGAAGGGGTTGGACCTGGAAAAGAGGTTCTAACATTCTTGGCAAGGCAACGAGTCAACCCCTTCCCTGCCCTGTATCCACCAAATTGGGATGCCAAACCCCGCTGGTCTTTGGCCTGGAAAAATAAAAAAACACCCCCAAACCGAAGCTACCCAAGGGTTGAATGGGATATGGATGTGTCTTTTTTGAGGGCACCCCTTTCTTTGTGGCGAAGAGAAGCCAAGAGACAATTAACGACACCCTCTGAGAGCCTCTACCACGAGGCATGTATCCATGAGAAGGGTATCTACCCCAGTTTCTTTGTCGGGGGTGGCCTGGGGTAGTGAACCATCTTAGACGTCAGGACCATTTCTTGCTCCCTCCTTTGACCGCTCAGAAATAACGGATTAAAATATGTTCTGAGCGGATCGGTCGGAACAGGTCTAGACTTCTTGCTTACCACTAGCTTGATCAGACCAAACAGATACCAAACAGTTAAGCTCCAGAACATGGCGAGTAACAAATCTCGATGTTTAGAATTTAGAACCATTTTTCACGGAGAACTGGAGGAGTTAGACCCCCAATCCATGGCGCTCTTCACACCTCCTACTCCAAGTGCCCTCGTTTTTTTTTGGCATGATGTCAACCCCTGTAAAAGCAGGGAGGCATTTAGCGTCGAACAACATTTTTCCCAAATAGATCAGCCAACAAACGCTGGTATTTGGTGTGGGGTCATGCGTTCGTGCTGTTGGTTCAGCAGTCCTTCAGTTCACCTCTGGGTCACCTCAACATCCTGGGGAATTTTATGGGCCTCATGGGAAGTAACAAGTACCCCAAATATCAGGTGTGCTCTTCTGAGCCTATTTGGAAAAACAAGGGAAAGCAAAGGCCAGCCACATATTTTGGGGGGTGTCAATCCCCTGTGTTGACACTGACCCAAATGGGGTGCACTCACCAATTCATTCCTTTTATTTCCTGCAAACACCCTTTTGTTTGCAGGGAATGATGTGGAGAGGGACGGCGTGTTGGACACAAAAAATGCTCCTTACCTCTTTACCTGTTACCCCTCCCCTAACCCCTCGTTTGTCAAGAACATTGGGGTGTTCGATTCCCTCCGGGTGCGCTTTCGCATCCTTAGCAGCTCCAGCGGCACATCGCCAGCATCACCTGCATCATCCGCATCAGCGGCTGCCAAGGATGCGGATGATGCAAGTGATGCTGGGGATGTTGCCCATGCTGGTGCAGGAAATGAAGGGGGGAAAGGGGGAAAGGATCTCAACAGCGAAAGGGGGGGAAAGATCTCAGGGAGGAAAGGGAGAAGATCTGGGCAAAAAATGCCTCAAGGGGGAAAAGATCTTTGGGAGGAAAAGGGTCTTTCTCGGGGGGAACAGGCCCTAAGGGGCAATGGGGGGATAGGATCTCAAACGGGAAAGGGGGAAAAAGACTTTGGGAAGAGAAGGGTGGAGATCTTGGGGGGAAAAGGCCTTAGGGGGGAAACGGGGGAAAGGATCTTAAGCGGGAAAGGGGGGAAAAGATCTTAGGGAGGCAAAGGGAGACGAACTCAGGCAAAAGAGGGAGGAAAGGGGGGGAAAGATCTTTGGGAGGAAAAGGGAGAAGAACTGAGGGTGGGAAAAGGCCTTAGAAGGAAAAGGGGGGAAATAAATGATCTTAACCGGGAACTGGGGGGGGGGAAAGATCTTAGGGAGGAAAGGCAGAAGATCTGGGGCAAAAAGGCCTTAGGAAGAAAGGGGAGAAATGATCTCAACAGGAAAAGGGGTGGAAAAGATCTTAGGGAGGAAAGGGAGAAGATCTGGGGAAAAAAGGCCAACAGGGAAAGGGGGGAAAAGATCTTAGGAAGGAAAAGGGAGAAGCTCTCAGGGGGGGAAAGGCCTTGGGAGGGAAAGGGGGGAAAGGATCTCAACAGGGAAAGGGTGGGAAAGATCTTAGGGAGGAAAGGGGGGGGGGGAAGATCTTAGGGAGGAAAGGGAGAAGATCTGGGAGAAAAGGACTTAGGGGGGAAAGCCCAACAGGGAAAGGGGGGAAAAGATCTTAGGAAGGAAAAGGGAGAAGCTCTCAGGGGGGGGAAAGGCCTTAGGGGGGAAAGGGGGAAAAGGATCTCAGCAGGGAAAGGGGGGGGGGGAAAGATCTTAGGGAGGAAAGGGAGAAGATCTGGGGAAAAGGCTTAGGGGGGAAAGCCCAACAGGGAAAGGGGGAAAGATCTTAGGAAGGAAAAGGGAGAAGCTCTCAGGGGGGGGAAAGGCCTTGGGAGGGAAAGGGGGGAAAGGATCTCAACAGGGAAAGGGTGGGAAAGATCTTAGGGAGGAAAGGGGGGGGGAAGATCTTAGGGAGGAAAGGGAGACGATCTGGGAGAAAAGGACTTAGGGGGGAAAGCCCAACAGGGAAAGGGGGGAAAAGATCTTAGGAAGGAAAAGGGAGAAGCTCTCAGGGGGGGGAAAGGCCTTAGGGGGGAAAGGGGGAAAAGGATCTCAGCAGGGAAAGGGGGGGGGGGGAAAGATCTTAGGGAGGAAAGGGAGAAGATCTGGGGACAAAGGCCTTAGGGGGGAAAGGGGAGAAATGATCTCAACAGGGAAAGGGGTGGAAAAGATCTTAGGGAGGAAAGGGAGAAGATCTGGGGGAAAAAAGGCCAACAGGGAAAGGGGGGAAAGATCTAAGGAAGGAAAAGGGAGAAGCTCTCAGGGGGGGAAAGGCCTTAGGCGGGAAAGGGTGGGAAGGATCTCAACAGGGAAAGGGGGGAAACAATCTTAGGAAGGAAAAGGGAGAAGATCTGGAAAGGCCTTAAAGGGAAGGGGGGAAAGGATCTCAACGGGGAAAGGGGGCAAAGGATCTTAAGGAGGAATAGGGAGAAGATCTCAGCGGGGGGAAAGGCCTTAGGAAGGAAAGGAGGGAAAGGATCTCAACAGGGAAAGGGGGGGAAAGATCTCAGTGAGGAAAGGGAAAAGATCCCAGGCAGGGAAAAGGCCTTAGGGGGGAAAGGGGGAAAGGATCTCAACAGGGAAAGGGGGCAAAGGATCTTCGGGAGGAAAAGGGAGAAGATCTGAAAAGGCCTTAGGGGGAAAAGGGGGAAAGGAGCTCAACAGGGAAAGGTGGGAGAAGATCCTAGGGAGGAAAAGGGAGAAGATCTTGGGGGGAAAGGGGGAAAGGATCTCAACCAAGGGAAAAGATCTTGGGGAGGACAAGGGAGAAGATCTCAGGGGGGGAAAGGCCTTAGGGGGAAAGGGGGGAAAGGATCTCAACAGGGAAAGGGGGCAAAGGATCTTAGGGAGGAAAAGGGAGAAGATCTTGGGGGGGAAAACGCCTTAGGGGGGAAAGGGCGGGAAAGGATCTCAACAAGGAAAGGGGGGAAACGATCTTAGGAAGGAAAAGGGGGAAGATCGCGGGGGAAAAAAGGCCTTAGGGGGGAAAGGAGGGAAAGGATCTCAACAGGGAGAGGGAGGAAAACATCGTAGGGAGGAAAAGGGAAAAACTCAGAGGGAGAAAGGGCCTTGGGGGGAACGGGAAAATGGATCTCAACAGGGAAAGGTGGCAACAGATCTTAGGGAGGAAAAGGGAGAAGATCTCAGGAAAGGAATGCCTTAGGGGGGAAAGGGGGGAAAGGATCTGAGCAGGGAAAGGGGGGGAAAGATCTTAGGGAGGAAAGGGAGAAGATCTGGGGGCAAAGGCCTTAGGGGGGAAAGGGGGGAAATGATCTCAACACGGATCTGGGGGAAAAAAGGCCAACAGGGAAAGGGGGGAAAGATCTAAGGAAGGAAAAGGGAGAAGCTCTCAGGGGGGGAAAGGCCTCAGGGGGGAAAGGGTGGGAAGGATCTCAACAGGGAAAGGGGGGAAACAATCTTAGGAAGGAAAGGGGGGGGGAAGATCTTAGGGAGGAAAGGGAGAAGATCTGGGAGAAAAGGACTTAGGGGGGAAAGCCCAACAGGGAAAGGGGGGAAAAGATCTTAGGAAGGAAAAGGGAGAAGCTCTCAGGGGGGGAAAGGCCTTGGGAGGGAAAAGGGGGGGGGGGGGAAGATCTTACGGAGGAAAGGGAGACGATCTGAGAGAAAAGGACTTAGGGGGGAAAGCCCAAAAGGGAAAGGGGGAAAAGATCTTAGGAAGGAAAAGGGAGAAGCTCTCAGGGGGGGGAAAGGCCTTAGGGGGGAAAGGGGGAAAAGGATCTCAGCAGGGAAAGGCGGGGGGGAAAGATCTTAGGGAGGAAAGGGAGAAGATCTGGAGACAAAGGCCTTACGGGGGAAAGGGGAGAAATGATCTCAACAGGGAAAGGGGTGGAAAAGATCTTAGGGAGGAAAGGGAGAAGATCTGGGGGAAAAAAGGCCAACAGGGAAAGGGGGGAAAGATCTAAGGAAGGAAAAGGGAGAAGCTCTCAGGGGGGGAAAGGCCTTAGGCGGGAAAGGTAGGGAAAGGATCTCAACGGGGAAAGGGGGGGAAAGATCTCAGTGAGGAAAGGGAAAAGATCCCAGGCAAGGAAAAGGCCTTAGGGGGGAAAGGGGGAAAGGATCTCAACAGGGAAAGGGGGCAAAGGATCTTCGGGAGGAAAAGGGAGAAGATCTGAAAAGGTCTTGGGGGGAAAAGGGGGAAAGGAGCTCAACAGGGAAAGGTGGGAGAAGATCCTAGGGAGGAAAAGGGAGAAGATCTTGGGGGGAAAGCAAAAAAGGATCTCAACCAAGGGAAAAGATCTTGGGGAGGACAAGGGAGAAGATCTCGAGGGGGGAAAAGGCCTTAGGGGGGAAAGAGGGGAAAGGACCCCAACAGGGAAAGGGGGCAAAGGATCTTAGGGAGGAAAAGGGAGAAGATCTTGGGGGGGGAAACGCCTTAGGGGGGAAAGGGCGGGAAAGGATCTCAACAAGGAAAGGGGGGAAAAGATCTTAGGAAGGAAAAGGGGGAAGATCGCGGGGGGAAAAAAGGCCTTAGGGGGGAAAGGAGGGAAAGGATCTCAACAGGGAGAGGGGGGAAAACATCGTAGGGAGGAAAAGGGAAAAACTCAGAGGGAGAAAGGGCCTTAGGGGGGAAAGGGGGAATGGATCTCAACAGGGAAAGGTGGCAAAAGATCTTAGGGAGGAAAAGGGAGAAGATCTCAGGGGGGGAAAGGCCTTAGGGGGGAAAGGGGGGAAAGGATCTGAGCAGGGAAAGGGGGGGAAAGATCTTAGGGAGGAAAGGGAGAAGATCTGGGGACAAAGGCCTTAGGGGGGAAAGGGGAGAAATGATCTCAACAGGGAAAGGGGTGGAAAAGATCTTAGGGAGGAAAGGGAGAAGATCTGGGGGAAAAAAGGCCAACAGGGAAAGGGGGGAAAGATCTAAGGAAGGAAAAGGGAGAAGCTCTCAGGGGGGGAAAGGCCTTAGGCGGGAAAGGGTGGGACGGATCTCAACAGGGAAAGGGGGGAAACAATCTTACGAAGGAAAAGGGAGAAGATCTGGAAAGGCCTTAAAGGGAAGGGGGGAAAGGATCTCAACGGGGAAAGGGGGCAAAGGCTCTTAAGGAGGAATAGGGAGAAGATCTCAGCGGGGGGAAAGGCCTTAGGAAGGAAAGGAGGGAAAGGATCTCAACAGGGAGAGGGGGGGAAAAATCTCAGTGAGGAAAGGGAAAAGATCCCAGGGAGGAAAAGGCCGTAGGGGGGAAAGTGGGGGAAAGGGAGGAAAAGGGAGAAGATCTCAGGGGGGAAAAGGCCTTAGGGGGGAAAGGGGGGAAAGGATCTCAACAGGGAGAGGGGGGAAAACATCTTAGGGAGGAAAAGGGAAAAATCAGAGGGAGAAAAGGCCTTAGGGCGGAAAGGGGGAATGGATCTCAACAAAGAAAGGGGGGCAAAAATCTCAGAGGGGAAGGGGGCCAGGGGACAATTCCAAAGGGACGCAAATAAGAAAGCAGGCCTGTAATGTCGGCGGCCTGAGCCGGAGGCGTTAAAATATATTTGGTATGTGTCAAAACAAGCAAGGCTTTGTCAAAACAAACAAGGTTTTGCAACATATGTTGGGGGCGGGGGTGAGAAAAGGAATTTGGAGAAGGTGTGGGTCTTCCAAAACTCCTTGTGAGCATGGGGGTCGGGCACAAGCCTAAGCCCCCGCTCAGCCCGCAAGACGCGCTCGGGAGTAAGCTTGAATGGCTTGGAGAAACCTAGTGGGCCACCTAGTGGGCCACCTAGTGGGCCACCAGAGATGTCCCTTCAGTTTCCAAATGGTGGATTTTCGTTCGCACCTCCTAATGTCAGCTTTGGATAAATCTGGAGGACCATATCAACCAGGTGGCTCCCCTTTTGTGTGGAATCTATTCATTTTGGGAGACTCCTTATCCTAGTATGCTCCTCCTCTTTGGCAGCGGAATCACGCGCTTGGCGATCCCAAAACGATAACCACTTGCCTCTCTTGCATTTTCTTGAGTCCAGTGGGAGAGAATGACTACAGATATGTCCAGCTTTCAAGCCAACAGGGGAAATCGACAAATACGGGTATGTCCATTTTTTCGGGGTTCCTCAATTTGAAAAGGGAAACCAACAGAGAAAACCAAACCATCGGTCCCCTAAAAAAAGACAAGCCCACATTGCTTCAGCCACTGGGCTGTCCTCAGATCCCCTACTAAAAGTTCAACTTTTAGTGGGTTAAATACGGAAACCACTAAACCCTCAAAGCCTAAGCTAAGGAACCGGACGTCTGGCCACCAAGGCCAATGAAAGCTCTCCGACTACGACTCCAACGACTCAGAGACGACCGCCGCGAGCGAGCGCCTCTCCGCCTCATCGACTTTGCGCTGGGACGCGTAGAGCTCCACCTGGGCGCGAGCGGCGCAGCGGAGCTTCAGACGTGGCCAGGTTGAAGAGTTTTCTTCGTGTTCTAGGGCTACTTTCCATTTCCATTCTTTCCAGGAATCCTTCTTTCTAGAAAACCTCCAGAAGCCCAGGGAAAATGGTTGGTTTTGGAAAAGAACAATGGTTGAACAGAATGAGGAATCAACCCCTAAAATTGTCTGTTTTTATTGGGGTGGGGGTGGATTGCCTGGGCGCAAAACAACAGGTTGGGGTGTGTTGTTGTGACATGTTTTGTGCGGGGAGTCCCTTAGCTTTCTTTTTGGGGGAGGGCTTTAAATAGGGAAGCCTCAGCATGGGTAGCTTTCCTTCGAATTCCCTTTCAGCCACCCTCAAAAAGGGTATGCTCAAGCAAAGACACACCCAAGTATCCTTCTCGCCTTCTCGACCATTTTGGGAAGGGGGGGGGGGGGTTGCCTCGAGTTTGAGCGAAAACAACGCGGTCAGAAGGAAACAAGGTGGTGGCGAGGTGGTCCTTTGACAAGTGGCAAAGCTGCATACCTCCTTTTTCTCCACAACTGTTCTGCCATGGTTTGTGTCCGAACCCCCCAAAAATGGTTTCCTTCCGGGTGGTACCCACCAAAGATGCACAGTCAAAGCCACGCCCCCACGAAACCGGGCCACGCGCCCTCTCTCCCAGTCGTCGAACGGATCGAGGTCCCGACCTCCATCTTCTTGTTCACTTCGAGCAAGTCCTGTCAATTGCTCTCTTCAAAAGCCTAGGCTTAGTAAAGAAACAGCACACCAATCAGCGTCCCTCCAATTGGTGGTTTGGTGGTTCAAGAGGGGTTTCTCATGTATCCTCTGCAAGTAACCAAGGGTTCAAATCCCCAAACCTCCAATCCAAATTGCCAAAGGGTGACCCGACAGTAAGGTGAACAGAACCAACTAAAAAAAACATAAAACCTACAAAGAACAGTGAAGTGAGTCCATACAAATCTGCAAGAGCTTTTTCTGGACCCTTCAGCATAGGAACATGTCCCAACAATCATGGGTGGCTTCCCATGTTTGAAGGTCCCTTGTCCTGCCTGTTCGACAAAACATGTTTGTTTCAGGCAAGCGTCGCGTCATTGTTTCTTCGGGCCTCGTCAAGGATCGTCAATGTTCCCTAAAGTGAAAACTAGGGCAGGGCCAACCCTGGAAAAGAACCTGGCCAAAAAGGCTTGTCGTTGCCTTTCCCTTTCCAAACAATGGATTACCAACGAAAAAACAAAAACAACACGCTGAATCTCCATAGTATCGAGCCTCCAAGCAACCACATTCACCCCCAGTCGAATAAACGGCAGGGTCACATGCCAAAGTCTCATAGGACAATGGCTGATTTCCCTTTCAACCGCCACAAAGGGTTCACCAGCAACCCACATGCATAAAACAACCCCCGACTTCTTATTTTATCAGGGGGCGATAATTAAGGATGGCCATCAGCTTCTTAATAGGGAGGCCAGACAACTAGGAGTAAGAGTTGGCTTGCATGTTGAACTTTTTGCCTATCGTGTTTTGTCATTCCCTTTTAATTACATCAGCAATCAGTTTTGACGAGCTTTACCATTGCACACACCAAATTAACATGTTATCGAACAAACATCACTTTTGGACGAATGTGTCTTTGGGGGATTGATTTTAGGTTCCGTGTTCTTCCCTTTGGCAGCCACCAGTTCGTCGAAATCCTCTTTGGCAGACTCTGGGGAAAACACTTGGCCCGCAACGGAAGGTGTACACAGAAACAAATATTTTACGGGTACCTTCCACATTCTTTCCAGGGATCCTTCTTACCAAAAAACCACCAAAAACCCTGGGCAAATAGCTGGTTTTTGAGAAGAACAATAGTTGAGCAGAATGGGGAATCAACCCCTAGAAATATGGTCTGACACTGTTCCATCTATATTGATTTTGAAGACCCCAAGGAAATCTTGGTTGCTTTCTGCTCCCCTGCTAAACGTTTAACTTTTGGTGGTTAAATGGAAAACCTATTAGGTGGCTCCTTGTTCTCCTCCGCCAGGCGTCGGCACCTTTGAGCTAGCTCCCCTCGGTCAACCTGCCGTGAGGCAGGAGAAAAGCAGACTCCATGGCGCTTGCACGAGAAAAGCAGACTTTCTATTGGTTGATGCACTCGATGTTTGCGGATTCTCTTTGGGGTTGTGCTTGTATTGGGAGAATACTCTATTGGTTGAGTCCCCATTATTTTTCAACCATTGTTCTTCTCAAAAACCAGCTGTTTCCCCAGGGTGTTTGGTGGTTTTTTGGTAAGAAGGATCCCTGGAAAGAATGGGGAAGGTACCCCTAGAGACTTCAGAAACAATTTTGTCATGTTGGGGGCGCAGCCAGGTTTTGTCCAACGGAGGGGTCTTGGTCAAGAGCATAAAGGAAACTAGCAAACCGCTCAAACGCTGCAAATCGTTTCTTTTTGGCCCAGCCAGGATTTGAGACAAGCCCCGAAATGTCCAATGGAGGGGTCTAGGTCAAGCGCGTCTGGGCAGCTTGGGAAAACCAGGTCGGAACATTCTGCAGGACGCTCCGCATGAAAATCCACCGGACATCTTCTCCAGCCTTCGTAGCATGGTTATTTTTGCAGTCCCCCAACAAACATAGAACATAACCAAACAGCTAAAAAGCAAAAAAGCAAAGAAACGCCTCTTTGTGTTGGCACACCCGCAGAAATTCCTGGGTTTGACTCCCGATGGCCTCAAATCAGGTCCTCAAAGCTTGGAGTGGAATAAACAGCAAATATACGGAATCCCCAGGGCCAGAAAGTGGGCATGTCAACGGTGAGCTCGTTGTAGCCACGATCAACCGTACTTCCCATCATTTTCAAGTGGACCTGGCGTTTAAAAAGACAAATGCCCTGCAAAACGTGTGGGATTCCAGTGGTTTCGGAGACGACCCATGGATGGAAGTCATGGAAACGGAGCCTTCATAGGCGAGCTTCTTCTGGTTTTGTGTCAACGTCAGTTGGGCTAATTCTCAGTTTTCGGCTCAAAGGTGGTTTGGTCCTTTTGGTCGGAGCAACCCTGCAACCAGCAGTATGGGAAACCGCTGCAGAAGGAAAGGGACAAGCCACGAGGGAATGTATCAATTCGTCGCTTCTTGGCTTCCCTTTAAACCCCGCTTAAAACAGGTGCAGGGCACTCCCATAAACATTATTGGCCAAGCGAGAAAGGGGACACTCTGTTGGTTGGTTGATGTTAGCAAGGAACCGTTTTTTTTCAACAAGGGACATATCCCACTTTAGCAAAAAGCACAAACACACCTCACCCCAAACCACTAAACTCGCAAATTCTGAAATCGCTAGAACCAGAAAGAACGCCCCCCCCCCCCCCCCGAGAAAAAATCAGCTGACTGTGCGCTAAATAGGGTCTGGGAAAGAGAACGCAACTCTGGACCCTCAAACTAACCTGAGTGAAACTCAGGCAACTGGTTGTATTGACCCAACCACTCTTTTGACGTGGCCAGGAAAAATAGTATGGTAAACAAATTGTTTACCCTGTTTGCTCAAACAGCTGAACATGTTTTGTCTCAGACACATCTTCTGACTATGACTCCAAAAAGTCAAAAACATGACCTCAATTGGGTGTCGCTTTTGGAGGTACCCTTTTTGGCGCTGTTTCAGAGGGAACCGACAGGGACAATCAACATTTTAGGGGTCCCCATTTGCAGACACACCCACCCCTTGCTCCAAATACACTCTGTTTTAAGGTATGATGTCAACTGACTCAACAAGACATATTCGCAATGAACAACATTGGCTTTGTCAAACATACCAATTCAAACAAGAGGGTACCTTGACATTCCATTGCGAACCTTTTTCCCGAGCGTTTCATTATTTCCTTGATAAGGCGATTTGGATGATTTAGGTACTTTGTCTGGATTGTTTTTTACTCTGAGGCGTTTACGCGAATTTGCTGGCGTTTGTGTTGACAACTAAGCCAGAAACAGAAACTGCGCAAAAATAGCACTCGTGGGAGTGTCCAGGTATTTGGAGGACGTGGTTGGCTTCATGGAAACTACGTAACAGAACAGCCACACTTTACAGGCCCTTCATTGACACGCATCCGGTGTCCAAGTCATATGTTGGTTGGAACGTTTCAAAGCGGAACTAAAGAACCAGTTTGAGGGGTTAAGCTTCCATTTTTTGGAAATGTGGGAAGTGAATAAAGGCTGCCCGGTTTTAGCTGGGAGGAGGCTTTCCCTTTCGAAGCTCTGAAACTTGACTTGAATCCGCCAGGTCGTGGATTGACTCTGACCAGACTGACTTCCCAGGAGTCCGAACATGCATTCTTTAGGTTCACTTCTTTTTCCCGGAAGCCCGGGTTCCAATCTTCTTGGTGTGACGTTAGCCTCCGCCTTGAAGCCTCAATGCCTCAAGTGTGGGGCAGTATCCCTTCTCTTCGGGGTAGCTTGAGGGAGCAGGTCACGACAGGCTCATGGAGACTCCACTTGGTTGACGTTGGAAGGGGAGCAACAAAAACTAAAATCTTAGCAGTTCAGTGGGGATTTCAGCCACTAAACCACAATAAGCAAAAATGTGAAAAAAAAATGTTTCCCAGCAACAACCATGTCCAGGTACGAACCTCTGCACCCGTCAGCCCCGAAATCCGAACCCACGCGTTCCTGCGCGCCTCAAGGTGCCGGACCAGGCGTTCGACCTCTTCCAGGTCAACCGCCTGCACCTGGCCACCTGCAAAACGGATGCGCCGGCAAAAAGTTTGTTTCTTTCCTTTTTTTTTCCGGGGCTGCCCTCAGATCCCCTGCTAAAGTTTAACTTTTACTGGGTCAAATGGAAACCCATTCTAAACACTAAAAGTCTAAAAAGCTAAGGAACCGGATGGCTGGGAGCCACCAAGCTTTGTTGGTCCAATGGAGCATCCAAAAAAACCGAAAATTCAACCCCTGTTTCAACCAAAATCCAACCCCTGGTTCAACCAAAAAGGTAAAATCAATAAACCAAGCATAGCCCTAAAGAAAAAGCCCAGAGGCTCAGGACCCTGAAAGCTGCTCAGAACCAGCTTCTTACCGAGACAAATAAGCTCCTAGCGGGAAAACAAACAAACTCACTTGCCCAAAGGACCTAGAAATGAAAGGCTAAACTTTTGGAGCAACCAAAAATCGGCCGACAAGCGGACCCTCAAACTTTCCTTGAACATGGGACATTCACCCATAGCTTTGGGACAATGTCATGTTTGAAGGTAGCAGGTGTTTGTCCTTTTGGTGTACCCTTAAACCAGCCTGAAGAGGGCCCTCAAAAATGGCTCGCTTGCCCAAAGCCGAGCCTTTGACCTTTTAGTCTCCCAGGTATCGAAGAAACAAAAATGCTGAAATGGAGCTTGGAACGGGAGAGTCCCATTGGAAGCCCTTTGCGGAAATTCCACAGGGAGAAATGGGATCACTGGTCGTCCTACTTATCATACCAATTTCGATCTTTTTGAACTTCCAACTATCTGGACCCTCACCCACTTTTGAGCATTCCATTTCCTTTCCCGAGGGTGGTATGGAAGATAACTTCGGGCAAGTATGCTTCAAGGTGAATTTCTGTTGGTGATGTCTCGGGTTGGGACTATGCATCTAGAAGTCCCTTATAGTCCTGCCTGTTCAACCCAAGAGTCCGAACCTTGCAAAAAGTGACAACTTCTGGCAGGTGAGGGGTAATAAAGGAATACCAAAAAGGCAAAAGGTCAAAACGGAACGCTGGGCTGCTTCAGGTCCATCCTCTCCGCTGGGGGTAAACACAAATCTATCGAGTTCGAAAGGAAGAATCCCCCAGCAAGCAGGGCAAAGTCGGGTGTTCAGCCCGCAGGTCAGAAACCCAGGATTAACCCTTGGAGCCTCTGTGGCTGCATGTGATCAGCCATTGATTTCGGGCACGCCCATGTTCAAAGGGTCCGACGGAACTCTCACTGGTTGATTCGGGGAGGCTTCTCTAAGGAATCCACCAGGATATCACTTTTTGGGGGAGTTGCACCCCAAAAAGATCCATCAGGTGGAGTAAGGGTCCGATCTTGTCTTTTTTGAGGGTACCCCTTGTTTGGTGGTTTAAAAAAACAAAAACACGGAAAAACACTAATTATTATTTTTGTGGGGGGAGTGGGGGTCCCCAAAAACACAAAAAGTATAAATCTGAGTTGACCCACCACCCCAAAATATGACAAAAAAGGCTACTGGAAAACCCCAATTACCCCTGGACCTCCGCCCTCTGGCCAAAAACCGGGACCGGGCTAAACACTCAACCAGCCTATAGTCAACTCCACATTCCCTCAAGCAATTGGGGACTTTAAGTACTCAATCGTTCAAACCGCCTTGAAACATTCAAACCCAGCATGGGACTTGCAATCAACAAATTGGATGTATGCGTCCATTGGGGGACCTTCACAAGTGCGGCTCTTTGCTTAACTTCCCTATTTGGAGACAAACGGCCACAAACATTTGAAGGGGTGTTCTAGCAAATTTAGACAACAGGACACAAACATTTAAAAGTGGTCCACTCAGAACCTCTCCGGGAAGGTGCCTGAAGCCCAACATACCTACGAAACTGGCGCTCGCACGCTCGCACGCTCGCCTGGCCCCCGAAGTTCGTGGACGATAATGTCCAGCTCCTGTGCTGAGAGCTGCAGGGACCTAAATGGCTATGGGTCAAAACCCCGTACCCCCAGTGAACATCCCAATCCCCACTAAAATAGACTAAAATGGGTGGTGCACCTACCGCCAAATAGTACTATTGGTTTTGACCCACAGCCACATGTCTATCTTATTTCGCAAATAAACACTTGGACAAAGATGTGGAAGATTGATTACTGTTTTGCAAAGGCCCTCTACTTCCACATGTTGCCACCTCAACTACATGATATAGGGAACCCATATCGCCCCCCCACCCCGTTATCCACTTCCAGGACTTTGCTTTAAACCAACCCAAAGAGCAATCAGGGGAATCCACAATATTAACCCCGATTAACAAAGCCATCCTATCAATAGTGTGTTCCACTCCCCTATAGTGCTGAACCCCAACTGCAAGAGGACACCCCCCCACTCACTTCCCGAGTTTGGCCAAGCCAAGTCTACTCAACCTTTTTGTCTACCACATGTTCAACGGTCTTCCCGAGTTCGGCCTAAAGAAGTCTCAGTGAATGTCCCAATCCAACCACTGAAATAGGTTCCAAAATGGGTGGTGAATGTACCTACCCACCAAAATGGGATCCCAAAACGGCTTTGAGCCACGGATCCCAAGACGGTTTTGACCACCACAGCCACAGTTCCGGTGGAGTCGACGTCTTCGCCGCTGCGCCCCCGTCCTTCTTCACCGCGGTCAGCTGCTCCCTCACCGCAGTGGTGCCCGTAGCGCCGCCTGAGCCCCGCCGAAATCGCGGGGCGCCGCGAAAACGAGGGGCGAGGACGGATCCCGGGGCCAGTTGGCTCGTCTTTTAGGTCTCCCCTTTAAAAGTGGTGGCTCATCTTGCAGTGTTCCTGAGGTTCGTGTTTTCTTTTTTAGGTTCTCTCAGAATGGTGGCTTATCCGTTGCTTCCCTACAAACCTACCGAAAAGGGGGTACGCCCTCAATTTTGGGGTTCTCCAAACTGGTGGTTCATCGTTTATATTTTTGCTAGCCTACCAAAAACGGGTACTGAGTACTGAGGCGTGAAAAAGGACCCACACCCATTTGGGTTGCCTACAAATGCTGGGTTTTCTTTGTGTTTCCCTTTGAAACCACCCCAAACGGATCCATTGTGCTTTTTGGAGGGTACGGCTTGGGCGGTGGTTAAAGGGAAGCCAAAAGGACCTCAGCCGAGATTTTAGGTAGCCCTATATTGAATATGAGACTATGCGATTGTTGGGTTTACCTAAAGCTGATTGGCTTCCTTTTGGCTTCCCTTTAAGACTATGTCAAAACAATCAAAGTTGGATTCAGGCCCCCCACCCCCCCAACCCCCGTCATTGTTTACTTGCAAGGCTTTCCGACACTACACGGCAACAACAGGATTCTTGACCCCCGAGTTGGTTCCTTCAAAGGGCTATTCAAATCAAACAATTCACTTCCGATTCCGATCGAGTGGATCGGTCGAAAAAGTAACCAAACCGAACTGGTCGTGTCTGCCACTCAGATTCGGAATTTAGAATTTAGACCCCCGAGTTGGGAGCAAATCAATCCACTCAGATTGTCTTCCCAAAGAGAGTGACAAAAGCCCAAGTCGATTGACAAGAAGGGCCCAGCGCACCGGTCGGAGCGAATCTCAGCGCTCGACTTGGCACATAGCCACTAAACCGTCCGCCTGGCGGAGCGAAACGGGATCTGGCCTTCCCGGGTCTAACCCAACGTTGTGATAAAACCAAATACGGAAATGGAAAAGAACCGATCTTTTCTGAAGAGTAGACTTAGGCCCAGTTATAGAATGTATATTCTATTGTGTGCTTCCCTTTGAGTCACTGGTAAAGTGTAAAATGTGTCCTACCTACCCAAGTTTTGAGGTAACTTCTGACCATTCTCTTCCAGGAATCCAAGCCTTTCCAGAAAACCAATGCCCGAGGAAAGCGGCTGGATTTTGCAAACAACAAATATGTTCGTAAATAATCCAACACCACGGACACATTGCCCTCCAAACATGCATTCCATGTGAGGCAGAGTCAGATCAGGGCCAACCCTGGTTCAGACGCTCAGATGTGGGGTTGGAACGTCTCCCATGAATTGCAGTAGAGTGTGGGGATACGAAATGCAAAGTTGCAGCGGTTTACCTCTAACAAAATACTGCTCAAATGCTCATCTTGGCTAATTCAATTTCGTGGGCTAGCACCAGTCACTCAAGGGAGAAGTTGTCAAACCTGCCGAAAGTGACATGAAGGAAGCCACTAGGGCAAAGCTAACAAAACACTGCGTGGCTCCCCCCCCTGAGCAAAAGGTCGGTCAATTTCTGTAGGTTTAATGTAACAAAACATTTGTTTCCACCAGTTCTCTCCAGTCGATTGGGCCACACCCGCAGCCATGAACGGTTCGTGTCCTTCAATGGGGTGGGCCCCTTTCCCAAAACAACAATGTCAAACTACACAGCCAGAAACATTCCAAAGCGTTCGTTTCACCCCATGGCTGTGCCTTCTGCCCCGATCATGTGCACCACCTGTTGAAAACCCATGCTTGTGGATGGTCCTCAAAGCGAGGACAGCCCAAGGTGTGTCTCGTGCTTGGCCGCTGTGAACACTTGTGGATAGTCATGGAAAGCCACTCGATTTTGACACAGACTCACCCCGACTTCAGGGATCTGGCCCAAGGTCCACCCCCGTAGCTACAAGCCCAAAACCCGAACCAGACATGAACCGACCAAATACAAGACCACCGCGGACATTTGGGTGGCCGCCCTGGTAACCTGCAAAATGATGTCCTTCTCAACTAGTAGGTAGCCACTGCCAGAAGCCAACTCGCTACATTGCTCGGCTTCTCTATGCTGTCAAGCCGCCGGTTCTGCATCAGAGAACTCACGCCCTTCAGCAATGATTTGCTGCAAGCCACGCTTGAAGTTGCGTCTCTAATAAAGCGCTGCTTAAGCCCTGAATTAATTGTTCAATTGACTCTGCTTTTGGCTTGCCTTCAAAACCACCCCCAAAACAAGGTGCCCTCAAAAGAAAACACTCGCACAAATCCTCAAAGTCCGCTTCTCCCGCCCGCAAATTTGCAGCGCCTGCGTCGTCCTGGCGGCTCCAAGCACTCGATGTTTGCGGATTCTCTTTGGGGTTGTGCTTGTATAGGGAGAAACTCTAGGGGTTGATTCTTTATTCTTTTCAACCATCGTTCTTCTCAAAAGCCGGCTGTTTCCCCCGGGGTTTTTGATGGTTTCCTGAAAAGAAGGATCCCTGGAAAGAATGGGGAAGGTACCCCTAGAAAAATAGGGAACCCAGTCTCGTTCGGGTTTGTATGGTATGATTCGTGCCCGGCTCAAATACACCCGAAACAGGGGGTATTTGGAGGGGGCGGGTTGCCTGTCTTCCCGTGGACGCAGCGGGATGCTCATTGTGTACTTTTGTTTTGGGAGGGGTTTCCTTTTAAAATTAATCAGCCTAGAAGACGCGGGAGGGGGGGGGTCCTGTTTTCCCCAGAGTCATGCCACTGCTGGGATTGATTGGTAAAACAAGATGTACCTGGAGTTGAGGTCATGACCTCCTCATTTTTGGGTAAAGGATTCCAGGATCCGATTCGTGTCTCCTGACAGGGGAGAAGATTGTGTGTGCGTGCTTGTTGTTTTTTGTTTGGCCGCCCTTTTTGGGGAGCTACGTTTGTTGAACAACCGATAGATATATTGGAATACATTCGGGCTGGTTGGAGGCTTTCAGGAAGGGTTGGGAGATGGGCACATTGCACGTGCCAAAGAGTATGCACCTGGAGAAAAAAACGATGGGCCTCCCTAACAACCACGTCACTCCTTGGAAGTCTTTTTGATTTTTATTTATTTTGTTTTAATGTTTTTTATGTTATTTTATTTGTTTTTGGGGTGGGGTCACCCCGACTGATTGTTTTACAAAGTTCATGACAATGCGGTGACCCCTGGTATGATTCTTGCTATATATGTCTTGAAGTTGAACGTATTTCAGGGGTGGCTGTACCCTGGAATAATTGTGAGGGTGAGAAGGACCGACCCCAGGAATACTTTGCAGACAACATGCCGCGCATGTTACATGGTTGATTTGGCTTGTTTATGGAGGTGGACAGTTACAAGGAGTTACGTATTCCGTGCAAGGGAACTGCGTCTGCTGCGTTTGCAAGCATCACTGCAGCAGCGGCTTGGGTGCAAAGCTGAAAGGTCTTGAGGGACACAAGTGTTTTTCATGGCAAATGCTTCCTTTCTTAGTCAGGTCAGGAGTCAGAGTGGTGGCCTGGAAAAAGTGTCCGGACCCACAAACTAGCCTAATAACAAGTGTTGAATTATCCAACCGTCATGTTGGCTTGCAATCTCCCGGTAGTTCTTGGAGGTCCAGGTGGTTATGTGAAGGCGAAAAGCTAGACATGAGTTCAGCCCGTGTCTCGCCTGATGATCCTCTTCCGCCATCGGCCTGAGATTCGACTAGATTCGACTCGAGGTATCAGATCGGGCAAAAGACGTAACCTAGGAATCAACCCACTGAAGGGTATCCTTTTTGGGGCTGGGTTAAAGGGAAACCAAAGGGGAAACTCGCCCAGAATGGGGGCAAGACCCACCCAAATTGAAGCAATGGTTGAGCCAATTTAGACTGATGACAATCCTGATCGGCAAACAATGGTGACGTTATATATATATATATAATCAATCCCAGTGGCGTAATGGATTGAATCCCAACGTGACGTGTCGAGTGTCAACCTCGGATTAATCCGGAGCACTTTGTTCAGGGGTGGTTCCCTGTGAGTAAGGACATTACTATACCATTTTTTCTATTTTTAGGGTCCTCCGGATTTATCCGCAGTTGACACTATCCTTTAATGGCAAAGATGGGGAGTTTATTTAGGAGGGGTCACCATGTTCGAGCCAACTTCCACTGCTCCGATCCCAGTTGGCCACTTCTGGACTCCAACTCCCAACCCACACGAATGGGTTAAACGTACACGGCAAGCTGAAAACTCTGCCAATTGCCATGGTTTCTGTTTGTTTTGCCTGCATATGTAGGGCATTCGGACCTTTCTCCAGGGTTCAAGTTGTTTTTTCTCGCTTGGGGCACTTGACAGCCACCCAACAGGGTAAAAAGCAAAGAGGGTAAGCACAAGTGTGGCAATGGTGTCTGTCTTTCGATACACCCGAGTGTCTCCTACTTAAGCTCCCCCCAAGAAAGAAGTGGTCAGGCAAACCAAACGAAATCAAACCCAATTGTCTGCCATTTGGTTGTGGTCATCTGCACAAGTTGCTATAATTCACCAATACGAGATCCCTATGAAATTCTCCGTGCGTCCCAACCCCCCCCCCCCAAACGTAGCGTCGCGAGACATGCCGCCCTCGAAGCATCCCTCTTGGACCCGGCTCATTCCCAAGCGAGCGGCGGATGCAGCGCAGGACGCGGCGTAACAAGCCGCCCGGTCGCCGGGCGGCTTGTTACTTGGGCAAAAGGGGCGAATGCGACCACCGGACTCTCCATGACCCAAGAATGATGTTGCACCTTCCCGAACCGTGCTGTGATGGTAACCAACGCAGTTTTTCGCAGCCACCCACTAACAATGCACAGAAGATAAAACTAAACAACTAAGAAACAATGAAGGGTTCATGGCACCCCTATGTTTCTACTGGTCAGGTCCAAACAACATCTTTGCCCCAAAGGATTTCACCAACGTTTCACAGGCCGGGGTGAACAAAAACAACAACCTCTGGCAATCCAAGACTCGTAGATACCCAACGGCTGTGGCAAGGGTATGATGAACAAAACCCACTTCGCAGTGGGATGCCGGAAACCACAACACTTTCCCATTGTTTTCATGTCAAGTTTCCCTGACATGTTTTCTTGACCATATGATGTATGGACATGTGCACCCCTTTTGTGGATCCTCTTTTGGGCTACTTGGCCATTGACTCGATTTGGCGAAGCCAGGCATCGTGGCCCACGGATTCCCAGTGAATGTTCGCACTGGAGGATCCCTCTCTACACTCTGAGGCCCCAACCCCAGAAAAATCAAGGCAAGGACCCAACTTGGAAGGCGAAACTCCCAAGGTAAACAATGGTGGATATATATATATATATGACATATGAACCCCATCGTTTGATTGGTCCTTGGAATCCCAGAACCTAGCCTTGGATGTGCTTGACACCTTGCGTTGCCACGACATCGGCGGATTCCCATTTCGGATGCAGTCCAATGTGAGACACTTCGGAGACTGGGAAGTTGAGAATCCACAGGATCTCAACTTGCTTTTGGCAATTCAGCCAACATCTCGTAAGACTTCAGCAAAACAATCTGCTTGTGTTGTTTGAGCCTGGAATGGCAACCTGGTGCTTCTGCAAAATTGAAAGTGTCGTCGTCTTGCAAAGTGGGGACCCCGGGATGTCTTGAAAATGCCTTCCCCTTTGATTTCCCCTTTCGTTTCCTCTCGTTCACATCACCTGCAAAACACATCTCAGACATCTCTCAACCGGGTGGAAGCAACTTTTAGCTCCCGGGTGACACGTGTTTCTTTGCCCCGAATGCGGCTCACTTGGATCGATGTCGGGGATGGCAGGCGCCTGGCGCCGCGATCCTAAGAGGCCTGGAGTCTCCATCAGCCTCACCCCAAAAGACCTGGACAAACATGTGACCGTTTAGAATCTTGACGAAATATAGACCAAAACAAGGAAACCAAAAGCTTAGAGAGTCCATTCTCTTCTAAGCCTGCCAGCGGTCCCTGGATTTCCCACCTTTGAAGATGCAACCAACGGGTTTGTTCCATTGGAGCTGCCACTTTTGGAAGACCCCAACAGGGGGGACATTTCAGAACATTGAGGGACGGGCTGCTCAAAAATGGAAATCAGAAGCCAATTCTCGGGGTGGGAGGACCCAGGAATTCACACAGATTCACTCAGGGTGGCGGGACCAATACTTCCCTCTTGGTAACCAATGGATTTGGAGGATTTTCCTCTATTTTGAGAAACCCAATATCAGCTTTGAAACAGGCCGCGTTCCCATCTCTACAAAAGCCAGGGGTTCCAATTCTCGAACCTCGAATCCAACTAATTGTTCCCTGAAATTGAGACCTTCCTCCTATACCCCATTCTAACTTTTCAGGCCCGGCCCAAGCATCAGAAAGGACCTTCCATTGGAGGGTTTTGGATCTGCATTGGAAGGGAGTTGACCTCAACCAGGCTTTTCTGGGGGCGGAGGGTGCAACAACCTAGGGCCGGCGTGGGCTAACAGGAAGGGAGGGGGGGGACCCAATGATGAGATAGTGTTTGGCATGTGGCAACATAGGGAAAACCGAAAATGGTCGCTTTCTTTGCCGTTTTCTCTTGGAACCAACCTAAACGGGTCGCCTCCAAAAAGATCAACCCAGTAGTCACCTGCCAAAACGATCGATGAGACTAGCTGGAGACAGCATATGTGCCTTCAACACTCAGAAACGTGCATAGCCGATAGGGGACACTTCACAATAGTGCTTTGTCCTTTGCTCTGACAAGAAATGTTGCACGTTACCCAAAGCCACCACACTCCAAAAATATCAACTTGTCTTAGGGTATGATGTCAAATGAGCCCCGACCTCGACGGGAGGCATGTACCATCGACATGGAACACCATATGTTGCAAACGAAACATACAAACTCAAACGCCAGATATTTGGAAAAGAGAGCGTGAATCCCCAGCAGAAAACGTTTCTCGGATCGCCTCTCAAAGGCCACTGTTGGGGTCCTGCGGCACGAGTCGAATCGAGCAATGCTCCAAGGCCATGTGTTCAAACAGAGTTGCTGGGTTAAACAACACCAAACGTGAAAGTTTCAAGTCACTACATAGTAACTGAGTCAAAGGTTTCCAAAAATAGCGGATCTCTTTGTTGGATGTTTCAAACATAAAAAGGGAAACCATGCTGGAAACACATGCTAGAACAGAAGAACAGGAGCACAGGACACATTTCAATCGCGTCTCAGTTATTGGCAAACACGTGGCAGGGATCCTTACATTATACACCTGAACATTGCCTTGTAAATGGTGGTTTCCCTTTATGTTGATGGAAAAAGCCATGTTTCAAATGGGCAAAATGTATCTTTTAAGGAGCCCTGCTTAGCACGCCAAGGAAGTGTTCTTCGAGGGCCCTCCCATGTAAGAAGATTTGTCGGATTGGACCATAGACTCGGAGTACCAATTGAGCAAGCTCACAACTACAGCCAGGTCCTTCTACTGGCCTCATTATTTGTTACCATGATCAAAGTCACCCCCTAAGTGGTGGGTTAAAGGGAACCAACCCCATTTTGTGACTTTGATAACCCCCAGAAGCCGTCGAAACAATGAGCCCAGTTCTAAAAGGAGTCAAAGCGCCTTGGTGTGAGAGGGGTGTCGGACTTCCCCAGAGGGTCCCCCGGAGAGTTTGGGAGAAGGACCAACACTTGGCTCACATCTGGAGAGAGAAACCACTACTTGCTGATTCTGTTTAATATCTCAGACTAGTCTGAGATAAACAATAGCCGTGGAGGAGACCCATGAAGAGGGAGAAGAACAGGAGGAAGTCCAAAAGCGGCTCCAACCCCCGATTTCTAGAGGCTCTACCCCAGATCCCTCCTGTGCGATCTCGGACTGCAGGGCATTTGTCACCTTCTCCAGCAGTCCTGACATGGACGCTGATCCCCAGTGACTTGGAGTCCACCGGGCCAACCCTTTTCAGACTTTTCCGTAGCAATTTGGGACCTTAGCCACCGGAAGCCACCGGAATTCGAATCCGAAGGTTGCTCTAGGTCCCCATGATCCACGGCCTATCCCAAAGACCTCAAGTGACGAGGTTTGGGATTAGGACTTACAAAAGACCATGGCAAACAACTCTTAAAATAATTAGGGCCTGCGAAATAGAAGACAGACATGAACGGTGCAGCAGTTTCCGCAAACAAAAGAAAAATGGTTTATCCCTCTGGCACCAAAAAAATCCACTCCAAACAACAAAAGGCACCAAATCACCACTGAACTGGTACCGTTCTTTGGTTTCGCCAGGCGCAAAGCCATCGCTCATCCATAGTGGGATCACTGGCCACAAAGAATCGGGAAACTGGTAGGTAGCAGATTTGGTCGGAAAGCTGGAAGACCCCTTCAACTTGTCTACCCCTCAGTTTGGCAGTTCGAGAGAGCACCCCCCTCGCTAGCTCCAGGTGAAAACTGAACACCGTCCTGGAAGGCATCCACAAAATCGCGCTGAAACCGCGGACGGTGAATGTTCATTCGGGAAACCCAAGCGAGGCCTGAAAGGACGAGTCGCCAGGCTAATGACTGCTTAGAGGGTACCAGGCTACTGATCAACCAGGGGTTCATTACTCCTGGGTTCCCAGTATAGGATCATTTTACGTGATCAGGGGCTTACGCCTCCCCCCCTCCCAATGGTACCCTTTGAATCATAAATCGCATCTGCCAAAAATGGAACTTCCAAGATAAGAAGCGGCAACGGGAGTCCTGCTGCCACATCCTCTGGCTGGCCGTCTGCCGGAATGTAGCTAAAGATCTCGGCGAAGGACATCGCCAAGGAAAACCGCCCAATCTCCGAAGAAGAAGGGCTCGACGGGGGAACCCTCAAAAGTGATGTTCCTTTTGCTTCCCCTTCAAACGTCAAGGACGAAATCTCGGGCGATTCCCTGTTGAAATGTCCGCACCATTGAGAAAAGGACACACCCATCGAAGGTAGAATCATAATCTCAAACAACTAATCCGGATCCCCTGTGTGCTTTTTACTTTTGTTTGAGGGCACCCTTTTTGCGGTTGATTTTATGGGCAGCCAAGAGGAACACCACCTTTGTGGCGTCCCCCCCATTTAAATGGGACACCCCGAATCAATCGGCCTTGGTTGGACATCTTCGTCAGCTTCCAGAAAGTCTCTCGGTAAGGGCTACCCACTAAGCGCCGCGACACATACCGACATAGCTCGCACGGCACAACCCGTTTATTTAGTCTCCCAGATTCCTTCTAGGGTTCAAAATCAAAAGCCCGTTACAACTCATCCAAAACCGTGTAGGCGATACGACTGTCTTTTGTTTCGCCTGTTGTAGAAAATGTGTGTCCTTTTTTGTTGCTTGGGCAATGGTAAGAGAACCCGCAAAAATTGTCGATATTTCCACCCAAAATGGTAGGTGATTTTCCCTTTAAGGGTACAGGGGAGTTTTGCAGATCCAACAGCGGCAAGGGATTTCCAAGGGACCGGCGACATCACTCAGCGTAAGGCCCATTGAGCTGGCTCCAGTTATCCCCCTTAGTTGGTTTGTTAAAGGGGACCATAATTGTCTCAACATGCCCCACCCCAAAAAAACCAAACAAACAAACAAACAAACACACACAAAAACAAACAGTTTCCTGTTAGTTTCTGTTTAAAACCAATCCAAACATCTCCAAAATGATACTTGGACTCTCAAACTGCCCCTAAAAATCAGATAGTGCTCCAAACATATGGGGTGGTGTTCCTTTTGTAAGGATGGTTTGAGGGTCCGGGTAATTACGGCCTCCAAAACAAAAGGACGCACTCCAGTGCAGATTGTCGAGCTCAGGGCCCCAGGCCCGCTTCCAAGACTCCGAGACCTGCTCGATGTTGTCCACGAAGAAGGAAAGGCGCTCCTTGACCTCTCAACAACATCTGCGCCCATGTGCCTTGGTCACTACTCTGGTCATGGGTTTCCTTAGGAATCATATGGGCCACAAAGGGGCCCAGTTTGCAGGTGGATGGCCATTTCGGTGTTGGTGTTCCTACCACCCGGGCAAAAAATCCCACGATGGCCCCAAAAATTTTCGGGCGCGCTCCCAAGCCGTGGCCATTTCGGCCACCAGCGGACCGGTTTTTGACCCACCGTATGACGTTGCCATGGGTGTGCGCCTTCTTGTTGGAGGGTGCCCCGCATTTTTGCGGCTTTTAAAGGGAGCGCCAAAAGAAGACCAGCAGTTTGAGGGTCTCCAAAAGTATGACTCACCCATATTGTGGGTTTGCGCCTTTTCAGGGTGGGCTCCCATCCACCAACATGGAACCTGACTGAGGGTTCCATGTTAGTGGACAGGAGGGCACCATCTTGTTTTTGGGGTCCTCCAATTTGGCACATGCCCATAATATTAATAATATACCACTTCCAGCTCATGGTTTAAGGGGCATCCTTCCCAGTGGTTCCAGTTCCAGGCAAGCCACTATAGCAGGCAACCAATGGGACCAGCCATTGAAAACTAAAAGGAACACGACGAAGGGTTACCTACTATTTCGGTAAGTGGGATGATGGAGGACAACTATTTCCGTATAGGTAACCAATTCAAAGTGAGCCTTCCTTTTGATGTGATGGGGGAAACTTGGATGTTCAACCCAGTTATAGTAAGTAGGTCACCACGGTTCTAAAGGAATTAGCCCTGACCGTTACCCCATCCCGTTCGAAGGGAAACTTAACTTGGATCTTCAACCCACTTATAGTAAGTAGGTCACCACAGTTCTAAGGGAGCTAATTTTGACTCTTACCCCTTCGAAGGGAAATTTAACTTGGATGTTCAACCCACCCATAGTAAGTAGGTAGCGCTAAGGAAGCTGACCGAAGTGATTTCATTCCTAGGCGGGCAACCAGTGGAACCACAGCTGACGAGGCAAATGGATCGAAGGGTTACCTACTTGGGCCGATTCCGGTTCTCCGGCACTCCAACCGTTGGAGGGATAGAATGCCAAGTACAATGGAAAATCCTTCGATCCGTTTTCTTTTAGCAAGGGTTCCAGGTTGTTTCCTTCTTTAAAAGGAAATGGGGAATCCTTCGATCAATTTTACTTGTTGGCGGGGTTTCATGTTGTTTCCTTCCATTTTCCTTTTAAGGGTGCCATGGTGTTTCCTTCTGTAAAAAGGAAATGGAATCACTGGGCACTGCTTACCGTTCAGGAGTTTCATCAAAATTGGTTCCTGAGGCCTTGATCATCGGCTTGAAGCCTAGGGGTATCCGGCAAGACAGAAAGCTTGTAAGGCAAACCCATGCATGGTACAACCCCGGTACCCCATTTGCGGCTTGCCTGGATGCACTTGTGTCAAGAGTGCAGTTCAAAACCAAAAGGACTCAACTGCCAGGTGTTGGGGTCCCCTTCAAAGTCTCAAGATATTCTCAGCTCATGGTCGGCTTGGAAGTTCCAGTACAGCATGGTTCATGCCCTTGTAGTTCAAAAACACCATGGGAATGGTCAGATTTGTCCCAAAATTCCCAACGAGCAGGGTAAGATTTGTCCAATTCTCATGAAAATGAAAATGAAGCCAACGCCCTCCTTCATCGCCCTTGTACCCAGCGGATGCCCAATGGGTTCCAACAGTCCCCCTCCTTAGATATATATATATATAATATACATATTTAAAACAGAAGAAGCTTGAACAAAACGGGTTTGAGCGAAACAATGGGCAACTGCTTGCGTCGTTGTTGTTTTTTTCTAGTAAACAAGAGGTCTAGCTCCACTCCTTGAGGCCTGCCCCTCCACTTGCCCATTTTTGTTAGTGGCATGTCATGGCTTCTTCACGGTACATACCCTTCCAACTAACATGGCAGTGGGGAGGTACCAAGATGAATTTCCTTTTGAAGGGACCCCCTCTCAGTTGCCACGTTAGTGGGAGGGAGGGTACCTCCTTTGTTCGGCAGGTCAGGTCGTGACCTCATGCCTGGTTAAGGGGGTCGCCCCTTTCGGCAGGTCAGGTGTGGACCTCATGCCTGGAGCTTGACGTTTCCGCCTTCTCAGCGGCGTCGTGAGGGCAGGAGACCAGGCGCTGGCGGATGGCCACGCTGTTGGGGCTCCTGAGCGCCAGATGGCCGGATGGCCGTGGGTCAAAAGCAAAAGCCCGTACCCCCAGTGAACATCCGATTCAATCCAACCACTGAAATTTGCTAAAATAGACTAAAATAGGTGGTGCACCTAGCCCAAAATGGTAGTGAACACTAAAATAGGTTCTAAAATGGGTGGTGAATTCACCTACCAACCAAAAAGGGATCCCAATCCAAGCACTAAAATAGGCTCTAAAATATGTGGTGCACCTACCATTTTGGGGAACCATTGGTTTTGACCCACAGCCAGATGGCTGACGCTTGTAGCTTCCCCCATGGCGCAAGGCTAGGCTTCCCTGAACAAAAGGTACCGAGCCCAAAAGACACGCCCGTATGTTAGTAGGACCCCTGAACCCTCAAACTACCAAAATGTATGAGCTTGCCAATACCCCCCATTCTCTCAAAGTCTGGAAATGCCAGATGTTGAAGGGTCTGTTTGGAAGGGTCCCCTGGGGCCCCCTCCTCAAAATTCGAGGCATTGAGGTACCAATTAAAGAAGGATGCACTGAGGGCAGGAAAGAAAGAGAAAGTGGCAGAAGACTAGTGAGGGCTATTGATCGTGGGCCGAGCCAATAGGAAAAGACTCCTGCTGCTATTGCTGGGTTTTGGGAGCTTCGGGTTTGCAATCCCTCCCCCAACACGTATCACGCACCACCACCCTGGCTTCGCCAGCACCTGCACGACCAACGCATCTCTCACACGCCAGCATCAAGTAGCACCACGACGGCGGAAGCACGACGACGTATCACCGGCAAGCAACCCCAGAATTCGGCTAGTTTCACAATTCCCCGCACAGGTGTTGGATAGAAGATGGACGATGATGAGTGGGGCTGCTGTATGCAGCCTATCCGCTCTCTCAAGCCACTACTACTTTTGGGAGCTTCGGGTTTTCAGTTTAACCAAAGTAGTATTGGCTGGCAGTTGGCTGCGAAAACCGGGCGTCCTGAATCAAAGGGGGTTCATTCATCATCTGTAATAGCACTCAAGGGGAATTATTCCGTAAAGTTAGGCTGGAATTCCAGCGATGTTGAAGGCGTTTCCTGGTTGCTACTTTTGAAGACCCCTCTCTGGTGCGGGTCCAGGGGTCTGCCTGGCGTCTCCTGATCTGCCCCGAAATAGGTGATCCCCTGCCCATTTCTGAGTGCCTCTCTTGCGGCTACCCTTTGGGTTGGTGTTCGAAAGGAAAACACGAGGAAAGCCAAAGGCGATTTGGAGAGTCCAACTAATTATTGTATCAGAGTCTTTTTCAGGGATCTTGGCACACGGGTTTGGTCCTTAGGTGCGGAGCAACCCTGGTCGAGACTCCACGTCAGACGTATGTTGAACGGAGAAAGGGACCATTTTATGTAACCAGTTGTGCAAACCTCGCTGGGAGATGATAATTCACCTGCAACCAAGACGGTTAAAGCCCTTCATCATCTCACTTCCGACGAGGGGAGAGGCCAAAAAAGCAATCACACCTTTGTGTTTACCAATAAAATGGTCCAAACCCACAAAGTGACTATCCAGAAACTCAGGGAGTGCGTCATGGGGTAAATCGTGTTTACCAATAAAATGGTCCAAACCCAAAAAAGTGACTCAAGTATAGAACTCCCCCTCCCAAAAAGGAGTGAGTGGGGGTACATCGCCAGTTTTCTTCCGAGAGCTTCAGGCTAGCCGGGCGCCGGGGCGTGTAGTAAGCGGTGCCGGTGACTGGGTCAAGACCTCAGCCCGCGTGTCGCGCTCGCGCGCGTGAAGTGGGCGATGCTCATCTGGCCTGTCCTCAGAGCCCCCAGAAAAAGTTTAACTAAAAACTAAAAAGCCAAGGGAAAAGGTTAAAAAAGCTGGGTTAATGGACTAAAAAGTTTGACTAAAAGTTTAGTGGCTTAAATGGCCTAAAAAGCTCAAAGGCTCAGGGAATCGCTTAGAAGCACCAAGTCATCACTACTTGATCGCTGCATAGATTCTCTTGGCATCGCTGAAATCAACCCTAATATTTGATCATGAGGTGTGGTGCCCTTTCGAGGTAGATGGCAACCTAGGTAAGTACTAAGACATTATTCTCCCTCAACTTTAAGCGGGTTCATAGTACCAATACCTCGCAACCCCATCTGGTTCCTTAATGCCTTTGCGTCGTTGTTTCAGACCAAATGGACACCAAAGGGGGAACCCACTCCTATGAAACACCCAGGCCTGCGGGCCCTTTTGACACCATGCAAACTAATTCATGACCATTAAAACAATCAAAACGCAGCTTCTGGTCCAAACTACCTGCAACTTCCCCTTTGATTGCTCCTGGGGGTTCTCAAAGTCACAATCTGAAGTGCCTTCCTCTTCATCTACCACATGCCGGGGTGACTTTTATATAGGCAGAATATTGGGGCCAGTAACACTCATGAGCCCCCAACCAAATCCCAAGAAGCGGTTCCTCGGTTGCACTTCCTTGGAGCCCCTGCGACGAGAGGAGACACGGGTCTCCGCCACAGCATCCAGCACTTGAAGCCTGGATAAAGGAAGAAACCCCGTGTAGAACATTTGTATCGGCGTGTGCTTGTCATTTACAATGTTGTGTGTTGCTGCGTTGTTTTCCTGAGTGCGTGTTTCATTGATCGCGCTTGCTTGCTTGCTTGATCGCTCGCTCGGTTGGTTGGCGGCGATTTTCAGACCCCTCCGCTTGTCATATGGCCCCTTTAGGGTGAGCAAGCTTGAGCTGCCCAAGTTCCATTCTGATCAGCAACGATGAAATCGAAAAGATATTTCCCAGTGATTCCACTTACCTGTATAGTTGTATTTTAAAGACAGCAATGAGGAAAATGCATGGGATCCTCTGGAATTGGGAGTGAACATGCTTGTAATGCCCCCCCCCAAGCTCCTTGTCTTCAAGGGGAATTGAAATTGGAGCAATCAAGGGTCGAAATGCCTTCCAATGGCGGCAATGCTAGGCTAGATGTGTTGCAGCGAGCAAATTGCTGGTATTCCTGGGCCCTGAAGTTGTTGTTCACAATCATGGCCTCCAAAGTCAAGAAACTTCAGAGGTGAGGCAGTGTTTTGAGAGTGCCTTGGGGGAACTCACCGAATTCAACCCATTCCGAGGATTCCCTGATGAGACCTCGAATGATATGGAACCAACCATAAGAAAAATTGCTGAGAGTGTGGGAGGGGTGCGTCACTTCTGCCATTCCAGTTTCTCCTTTGTCAAGCTATTGCCTGCTTACGCCGAATTGCCAAATTGCAAAAGGCTGACAAGGTGAAAGCAGGCTGGGCAGGTTATGAGTAGGAGAAAAGTAGGAGATACCACAACCGTCTTGCAGAGTTCCCACTGGACGGATTTTTGGAGATACAGCCGGCGAGGCATTTCGGACTCAGGGCAGCGAGGCGGCGAGATATTTGCAAACTCTCTTCACTAGCGACGAGATCGTGGTCCTTCACTGTTTCCAGCGGCGAGATTCTTGGCTGGCAACACCAATCGCGGCGAGATACTCTAGGAGTAGCTCTCCGCCCAGTCCTGCCCTCGAAAGCCAGAAATCTCTCCAACTTGGTCTTTCATGGGCTGATTTGGCCCACGCCCGTCTGCTTAAGATTGTGTTGGTTCCTGAAGCACTCCACAAATAGGAGCGGAGAGCTACTCCCAGAGTAGCTCTCCACTTTGAGGGGGTTGCCACCAGGCCCAAGTTGGAGAGATTTCTGGCTCTCGAGGGCAGGACTGGGCGGAGAGCTAATCCTAGAGTATCTCGCCGCGATTGGTGTTGCCAGCCAAGAATCTCGCCGCTGGAAACAGTGAAGGACCACGATCTCGCCGCTAGTGAAGAGAGTTTGCAAATATCTCGCCGGCTGGCTGCCCTGAATCCGACATGCCTCGCCGGCTGTATCTCCAAGTCTTGCAGGAACCCTGCAAGACGGTTTTGGTATCTTCTACTTTTCTCCTACTCGTAACCTGCCCAGCCTGCTTTCACTTTGGCAGCATTTTGCAATTTGGCAATTCGGCGTAAGCAGGCAATAGCTTGACAACGGAGAAACTGGAACGACAGAAGTGACGCACCCCTCCCACAGAACACCCATCTCTTAGCAATGTTTCTTCCATGTGGTTGACAACTGGTAGGATATGTCCCCCTGAACGTCTGGGTTCATACATCGCTCTTCGGCAGGGCAAACTTGAATGGAGCGGTTCCTTCAAAAACGCCAAAACAGCGGGACACTCATTCTTCTGACCTGTCGAAAAGGCGATGGCTGGAGCCGCCCAACCAATTCGGGAGGCAGCCAAAAGGTGGCCAAGCCGAGAAGGAACAACTCAATGAAATTTTGCACACGGACCACTGGAGCTTCAACCCCCCAAAAAAGAAAATTATACACAAATGGATGGATGGGTTCTTTGCCACGACCCCCCCCCCGCCGGAAACTAGGAACCCAGGAGAACGTCAGAAAAAGCAACAAACCCCAGGAACAAGAAGCAACAAAACAAACAAAGAGCCACGGCTCTCTTCGATTCTCCTGAGTCATACTCGGCGGTTCACAGGTGACAAAAGAGATGGAATGGATTTGAGTGGAATCTCCCGAACAGGCTGTGCCATGGGAGAAAGCAAAAGGGCACTTCATTTTTTTCTTCGATCGTAAACGAACCCCTCCTGAGAACAGCGGCAAGGGCACTGGAAACCCCCGGCCCCAAGAGCCAAAAGTCGTCAAGTGGAGGGGAAGTTGGACATCCTTGCCACAGGCTTCCCTATATGTCCCGTGAAAAAAAACACGCCCGCTTGTATAAACCAAAGAAGAACACTACAAAAACCCCGTACCTCAGGTTTGAGAGGCAGCTGCAGACCCCAGACAAAAAGAGTCAACTATAAAAAGTATCCATTCAACTCACTTCTTGAGTGGACTGGCACAAAAAAGTCCAAACTGTTTCTTTGCAACTCAAATGGCTGTGGCTCAAAAAGCAGGTACCAAAATGGAACCCTGGTTCTGTGGAAACATGGACCAAAATCTGCATAACCCCCCCTGTTTAATTTTGAGCCACAGCCAAATGGTCCACAGCCAAATGGTCTTCCCAAAAAAGGGTTGAAGTCCATGAACTCAGGGAGTGAGTCAAGTCCCTTCGAAACTCGCCGGGCGCGCTGGATGACCCGCGACGGCCACAAGTGTGCCTGCCTGAGATCGATGAGAAAGCAAGTGGAGACCCAAAAAAGAGCCACCCTCCCAGGCTTGTTAAGGTTGTGTCAAGCGTTCACGAAAGTGACATCATTAGGCATCCTCAGAAATTGGAATCTAAATCTTAAAAGGGAAACCACACCTAAAACGAAATATTTAAGAACCCTTCAAATGCTCACTTTAAGGGACCCACCCAGTCACCGGAACACCCAGGACTCGTTCGGTCCTAGCCTCGAAGGCATCTAAAATGTCTCATTTGCTTAAGTCCACTGGGAAAAATAAACACCAATTTCCAGGAGTGATAGATGTTCTCGAAAACCAACATGTAAAATAGCAATTCAAGAATCTTCAGCAAATGGAAGAAAATGGTCGTCCGGAAATCTCCAGTGTTGGTGGAAGAGCAGCCGTGTATATAAAATAATTGTGTTTGTACTTCGTGCGTTTCCCCAGATCCCTCCCAAATATACCCCACACTCACATCGCTCATGTCAGGCTCAAAAGCAGACTCGAGCTGGAGTAATTACTTTGACGGTTTCTGGGAGTGCTTCCCTTTAACCGACCACTGGACCACTTGCGGAATAGTGGGGCCCCAGAACCCTGGAGGATGCGCAAGGGTTCTCCTACCATCTGCCCAACTGTTTGCCTCTCATGCCTGAAAGCAAAAGCCTTTTGTCACGCCAAAGTCACTACTCACTGCTCAGCACTGAATGAGGGAATGACCGTTGTAAACCATCCCTTGTGGTTCCACAAACACCCGAACAACAAAGAGCCAGTACAAAGAGAGAGAGAGAGAGAGAGAGAGCAAGAGAGAGAGAGAGAGAGGGGGAGAGAGAGGGGGAGAGCACATGTTAAACAACAACCATGGAGCGCCCAGGAAAACTTCCTTGAAGATCCAGCTGCGGTTTCTGCTTGCCCCAATCAAAGGATCCAACCTCCTTCCTGCAAATCCCCCGGCGGCGGATCCTAATTATATACTGGGAACCAGGATGAAGAAACCTCGGGTTGATTTTGCTCAGGGGCGTCCCATAGCCGAGAACCAGATCAGTTTCCTTCATAAATCAACGTGAGGGGCAAGCCACAATTCGGACAATCCGCGGTTTATCAATGAGGATATAATTGCCAAGCACGCATGAGTATTTTAAGGAAACCAAAGGTGTGGCTCCCAAGATGGTTTGCTCTGGCCTCCAAACTACTTTTTTCAGGGTAAACGGGATGTACCATTCAGAGTGTGGTATATGGTTTTGAATCTATGAATCTTTCTAGGAAACCCCCTCAACAGCAGTTGATGGACCTGAATCCCGTCCAATAATGACACTTGTAGAAAGGTGCACGAATCTCCATCCAAATGATGTCCACCAAATGGTCCCGATTTGCTTCTTTGTTTCAAAGGAAGCCATAAGAAAATCACCGCAGTTGGGTAAAAAAACGACACCCCAACATGGGTGGTTTCCTTGTTGTTGTCCTTTACAACCAAAAAAACAAAACGGTATGCCCTCAACAAGACACACCTTTTTTCGGGGGTTCCGGTTGTTATGGGCCCAAGAAAGAGCGAGAGAGAGAGAGAGAGGTCACGCCTGAGGAACTCCGCTTGCGCCCGAGTCTTCGGAAAGCCATCGAGCACCTGAAGCGAGTCGTCGGGTAGGTCTGGACTCCATGACCCTCAAAACTGCGGGCTGTGCCCAAAAAGGGGTGCATGGACCCATTTGCAAAGGGTCATGGAGACGACCATTTCCGCTCCATTCACCTTACCTGGACCCTCAAACTACGAGAAATTAGGCCATCGCCCCATGATTCCGAGCAATATCCCTTTGTTCCAGGTAGCTTGAGGGTGAGGAGTTCGCAACCCAAGAAAACTTCGATCCATCGGGTATAGACGACAAGTGACGATTCCTTTGGTACAGCAAGAACTGACACCGCCGTCATTTTAGGGTTGAGCCGGTTTTTTTTTTGACAAGGGCTTTCGACCCCCGAAGTCCCGAATCAGGTTTGACGGAAGAGGGAAACTTGGTCGAAAAAGAAGGGAGCCTCACTTTCCACAACATACCCCTCGAAACAAGAAGCCCCGGTGGAATCCCAAGCCAAAGCCCCCTCGGAGCCGCTCCGAACCACTTTGGAGCCTGTCTGGGAAGGAAGAGACCTCATAACTTTCAACTGTTGGGGAAGAAGAAAACACCTTTTTCTTGCCTGTTCTTGGGGTCTATGCATTTTTGGATCGTGGGCCCTATGAACGTGGGTCGTTGGTTTCCACATGGTCATTAGTTTGTTTGTTTTTTCACTGTTCCTCGCACGTCTTAGCTCTGTGTTTGTGGTGCTTTTCTCCAAGAACGCGGTTTTTGTTATCGTACCGAGGGTGGGACAGGTTTGTTCGGCTGCCTAGTGGGATCACCTCCAAGCTGGGTTCAGGTTCAGGATGTCGTGCCCCACTAATGTATCTTTGGGTCGCCCTGGACTTGTTTTGGGTCCCAGAGCTTTCCAAACGAAACAGGGCTCGGAGTCTCCAGCTAACATGGGCTCGGCGGCTCCGTGAGTCTAACAATGGGGGCATGACTTCCGTCTCAAAACCTCCGGGGTTCTGACCCCAAAAAGCTCATGGCAGGTTCTGAGGCCGCCGCCCAGCCCTTGCGCACGCAATCCGTCTGCTGCAAGCGCCTCAGAAAAAGAAAAAAAAAGAAGAAACAAAAAAACGCAATTCGAAGGCGTGGAAGCCAGCGCAAAAATTCCCCAAGGAAACCCAAGGGAACCAGTGGTCCATCAGCGTCGTTTCTGGCTCTGTGCCTGGATAACCAAGTTGGAACCACCCAAAATTCAAAACGAACAGAAGTTATAGTGGCCAAACACCTAGGATCTGGGGAAGATTGGCTGGGAAAGGGATTTGAACTTGTCATGAAACGGATTGCCATCAAAGAGAACAAAGCCCCACAAAATGAGGCCAATCAGCTTCCCTCTTGATCATTTGGAGTGCTTGGAAGCTAAAGGTTTCCCAGTTGCCCTCTACAAGAACCAATCCAAGACCAAAGGGCTGCGTGAAACCTGCCCTTGGAGTCTCCATGACCCTGAACCAGCAACCTGGACTGAGCTAGCTCTCACTCACTGACGTTAAAATGACACGATGTCCTGACCAAAATGGTACCGAGGGCAAGTTTGAACAACATCCCTGTTGCTTCCATTTAAAGGGGACCACAGGGGTTGGTTATTTCAAAAACTGTTGCCCTGGTAGCCAGCCTCAAAAAAGGCATGTGCAACTGCTCCAACTGTGGTCGCCTTTTGAGGGTGGATTTTGACAAGCCAGGTTTCCCCTGGCACATACCGCCTTTTCTTGTCGGGGTTGACATGTTGATCTAAAGCTAGACAGAGAATTTGAGGTGTTGGTGAACATCTCCGGTCTATGGTTCAGAATATTTGGCGGGGACATAGGAGGCAACCATCTAAACTTACCACGCAAACCAGGCGGACTCCCTCCTGCTCCCATGTCGGGAACGAAGAATCTTCTCCTTGCCTCATCCAAGCCACGGACAATACTACTTTCAATTGCTCCAAATTGGAGAGGCCCCTTATCTTTGAGAACATATGGAATATTGGGTAGCCCCCTGCCAATAATATTGTTTGTTGCCCGCATGGAGTCTGGAAGAGGTTTTCCTGCGAGGCAAAACCTTCATGGGATCCTTCATGTTAGCCTTGGATTTTGAAGACCTTTGTTGATTTATAGAGAGCTGTCGCCTTTTAGTGCAAATCCTTCCCTTTTATAGTTGCTCCCTTTTTGTTGTAGTCCCTCCAACTGCCGGCTTTTGAGCAACCTCATTTAGCATTTTCAGTCCGGGGTTAACATGAGACTGCCTAAAAAGGCGGGTTTTGGCGCTTTCGGGGGTGGGTTTAAATTTATTGATCCGAAATGCCCGTTGCCTCTGCTGGGGCAAACCATCTGCTGACCAAAAAAGCAGGCATATACGTCATGTCAAACCCGGCTTTTCAAAATTAGTCCAACCCTTGGAATAGTAATAAACAGCTTGGTTGTTTGCAGCCCTCCTGTAAAAACGAACCGAACCCCAACGCGAAAACAAAAAAAGAAGCACCTCTTGGCACTTGCCAACAACAGTGAAAATAAACTTCTTCCACACAAAATGAGAAACAATCAAAACCCGGTACAAACATGGTCGACCCAGAACCATGTAAAGAACTAAGAAGGCGGCTGCAGCTATTTATGGCTGGATCATCCCTTACTAACCTTCACTTACCCGGGTTTTGAGCACGTGGCTCAAATGATGGCCTGACTTCGCATCGCCCTGGGCCGGCCCTGAAGGCCCTGAAGCCCCTGAGTCGGCATCTTGAGGCCCCGCGCGCGCCGATGAGCGCGCAGGCCTCCTCGTCGCTGACGTACTCGGGCGGCACCTCCACAAAGTCCTTGGACCCCGCCTCGAGAGCACGCGAGCGGAGCCCGGCGACGCAGAGACCTCTGGAGGTTGGATGGAGAAAAGGCGGGCCAACTTGTTGGGGGTGGTTGGGTTTAAAAACAAAAACAACTCAAAATAGAAGAAGAAAAACAAAGGGCACCACCACTGGAGGTCTGGGACTAGTAGGTGACTGGCCATCTTCGTTTCAGTTCTTAGACAATGGGAACAAGGGAACTGCCCATTTTTTTCTGAATGGACCCCGCGAAAAGTCAAGAGATTGATTCCAACCTGCCAGCCTTGATTGAGGTTTTTGTACGCGACTGGGCTCTGTACCAAGGTCGCCAGCGTTTTGCACGGCCTCAAACATGGGCTAAAAGGAATTGCTACCCGTTTCTCCAACTACCGCAGGGTATATATGTTGCAGGACCCAGTTTTGTTTCCATGGCACGTCGGCTCTTTGGTTTGGGCGCAACTTGTCAAAAAGGGCTTGCACCTTGAGCAGACCTCCATTGGGGGCAAGGGATGTCCGTAAAGATTTAGACCCCAAAAAGCCCTGTTGGTCCCGGGATTCTTGGGGCAGTTCAGTTTCCCTAAGACCACCTTCGCCATCCGTTTGACATAGGGCTTGGTCTACCGGAAACAGGTAAATGGAATCGCGGCACCCTCCCCCAACCACCAGGGGCCATGAAAATGGATGTATTCCTGGCAACATAGTGGTTGTATATATTCCGCTCAAGCAGATAGTCGGGTGGGGGAGTAGTGGATACCACCTTTAGGGTGTAACATGTATTTAGGAACCCTCTGCTGGACATCATGTGCATGGTTGGATTTGTGTCTACCAATTTGCTTGGAGGGTGTTGCAACCGGGATCCCGAGGCAAAGGGCCTACATTACAACATGCCTTCCGCTCGCTGACCCAGAAACCGATCAGTAGACATGCTCGAAATCGATTCTACAATGCAACTTAGTTGCGAAACTCACCCATGGTCACTGGTCACATTCAGTCATCCTTGGGTTCCCCATCTGAAAAAAATCATCCTGGGTGCCACCAGTAGTAAGCACTGCTCAGTTGGGCGTGCCTTCTTTTGGGGTTCCATTCTTTCTGGTCGGGACTTTTCACAAAAAACCGAACGAAGACCCATGTGGGATCTTCCCCCAGAGGCCTCATAGTTCTCACCACTCAGATCTGCCCTTGGCTTAGGGAAACCGAAACACCAAAGCCCCATTGAATCTGACCACATCGGCACCCACTTGTGTAGGTAACCATCACTTCTCCCTTGGCTGCCGGGACCGAGCCTCAAACGACCTTTACATAATTAGATATTGCCCAAGATTATGGGGTGATTGCAGCACCTACGTGGCGTTTGCCTTCAAAGCAAAACACATAGAATGTCACTGTGAGTATTTAAGGAAGTCTGGCAGATTGCGGCATTTGCCAAACCCATTCTGGCTCGCCAGAATGGCATTGTCTACATTTGCAGGCAACTTGCTTGGTGGAGCCGCCGAGACCACGTCCATTGTTCCCTTTCGACAACTTCATACAGGTTGGGCTTCCCATTTCTCTAGGGGGGAACTCTCGGAAGGTTACCTGCATGTCTAGGTAAATGAGATCACTGGGTCGGAAGAATTGTTGAGCTTTTCCGTACATTGATACCCAAGCGTTCTGATTACCCAATGGCTATGGCTTCCTAAATGGACATGTTGCTGGTGATGAGCATATCTCCTACTCCAAATACCCACGGATTTTATGGGATATGTTGGAAAACCTGGGGCGTTCCCGGGTTAACGTGCTACCCTGAAAAAACGTGGAGTGGGGGTGCATGGGCTTGTTAATGCGGGGTTCCCATTACCTTCGCGGCTCCTAACTAACGAGACACTTACCATGGAAAGCCCGGCTATACCAACTAGCACAAGTGCATGAGTAGTTGATATCTTACCGGGATATGGTCAATCATAAGCAACCAGCAGGGTTGACTATGGAAAAACGAGGGGTGGGGGGGGGCGAACGCCTGCTTCTCCTTGAGCAGGTCTGCCAAGTCCTCAGCCCCGGAATTTCGGTAAACGAAAGCCAACCTGAAGAACATGGAAGTCATGACCCCGTAGTTTTGGGCATACCGTACGTGGAGAGGACCTACAAAGGGTAAGTTGAACATGTGGGTTTTCTGTACAAAGGTTGGTGGTCGGATCCAAGCAGGATCGCACTTTGGCCCCAGGACACAAACACTCAAATGGCTGTGTGTCGCAATACGGGAAGCCCTGAAATTGGTGGCTGCCTTTTGGTTTCCCTTCAAGAAACACAAACAAGTTCCCCTGAAACAACAATGGGTGATTGCTTAATCTGGGTGCGGTTCACCCTTGGCTTAACTTTTACTTTAAACCAGTGACAACGCCCAATAGCAACATGTGCCCGAAGTCTCACAGCCAGGATGTCCGGACACGAGGCGACATACCCAAAACATGAGGTTCCCACCCAGCACACACTTAATTGGGCTCTCTATGATCCAAACAAATCCTCTGGAATGAACCCGTTCTGCGGGGGGTTCCTTCTGAATATGAGCCAAGACCAGCTGAAGTCAGCGCCCAACCCCTCTGACTTTTGTTTCTACAACTTGGTAATGGTGTATGTGGTCCCTGTAACCTCATTCAGCCACGTAGGAACCAAACCTGCGCCAAGACGAAAATGGTGGCACCCCAAATTAAGGGGCAAATGACCACACATGCTGCAGGGTCAGAGCAACCGAACCTGAAATGACCAAAATTGGCTTGGTTGCAGCTGCCATTTGTTTGAGGCGCCGGCCACATGCACCACGCCCAGCTTCTTCGCCAAGAGCCTACACTGGGTGGTCCTCGCACGCAGCTCCGTGCCAAAGGCTTCTCAAAACGGCACGGGACAGGGACTCACAACTTGAGCGCTTCCAATTGCCCCATGTATTTGGGCAACACAGTATGTCTACCTCGAGGTCTTTGGTCTTCCTTGCGTACCTTTGGACATGGAACTGGCGACACCTTGAACACATGGTGCCGAACCTGTATTCGTTTCCGGTACCACTCCTGACACCAAAATGGAACATGGCTGGTTACCTAGTGCACTGACACCAACAAACTTCCAGAGACCTGAAAGCAAATATAGGACAGGCTCATTTACCCTTTTGAGGTGGTTTGAAAGCGAAGCTCAAGCTAAAGGGAAAACCGGCCATTTTGTGGGTCCCCACACCCACTTGGGGACTAGTAGCCAATTATTATTCGTGCCCAACCATCGAAAGGGGCCCTTCGTGAAAAGGCACACGTGCTTGGGATTGAGCATGTGGGATACCGGGCACAGGCGGGGCCCGCGCCGTTGAGCCGCTCCATCAGGCCTTCCACCGGGACGTTGGCACCACTTCGGATGGCACAATTCCCGCGGGCAGACCCACGTGGCAGCTAGGAACAGCATGGTTCAATATGGTTCACCTGTTTCTTGGACGGGGTCATCCCCTGGCCCAGCGTGTGCAGGGACGTCAGGACGTTGTCCGCACGATTCGCCCGCCAGGCGGGTGCACATGTCACCCATATCTGGGGTACAGAGTTTAGATTGTGCTTCTATTTAGTCAACCCTGAAGTCTAAAATAGCTTTGGAGAAGACCTGGGACACACTGGACGCACTGGGACAAAAGGGATAGACAACAACAAACCCATAAACCATCGATTGTACGGGGAAACACTGGGACACTCTTTTCCAGCAAAAGACCAAGTGGTATCCCTAACCCCTGGATCCCTTCCGGAACAGTCCGGAGCCGCTCCCAAGCATTCTGAAGCACCAGGCGACAGTAGCCTTTCGAATGAACCAAAAAAAAGCCTCAACCAATAGGCCTCATAAAGGCTAAACATACAAACGAAGGCAAGGCCAAATCCCTTGCACCTGAATTCCCAGGCTAACTTTCCCAAGTTGCCACACAAGTTGTCAAACCGATTCTGCTCTTTCTGAGTCAGGGTTCCCCCTCGCTTTCCCTGTACACATCATCCCAACAAAAGGACACTCACTTTCAAATGGCCCAACAGGTGATGTGTTGACCCAACAATTACATTGGCACCTTTTAACAGGCTTTAGTTCAACGCGTTGTTCTGCAAACTCATGTGCAAACCTGTCACTGTCTTGTCTTTAGCAAGGATCCTTACCCTTACATTATACACCTGAACATTGCCTTGTAAATTGTGGTTTCCCTTTATTTTGGTGGAAAAGCCATGATTCATGTATCTTTTAAGGAGCCCTGTTTAGAATCCACCGAAAAGTGAAAGGATCCATTCGGCTCCTGCCAGACGCGCATGGCCCCACAATGCACACCCGGTGCATGCGCAGCGGGGCATTTGAGTACCTAAGCCGAAGCAGGGACATCTGGAAATCATAACTCAGTGCTTCCAACTACCTCTGTAGCAGGTAACCAGAAGGAAACCAGCATGTAAAACCTAGACGTAAAACTATCTGGTTATCTACTAAGTATATAGCAAAAACTATGACCTCGTACAACAAATGGTGCTGCCCCTTCAATAAACACACACACAGACTGCCCCACCCCGTCCAAAGGGGACTGAAAGAACAATGTGACTTGGAAAGCGCTTAGAATGGCTATTCGCTGCAATTGGCTGGTTCACCGCAAAACCAAAAGGAACAAAACCCCTGTTGGGCCTTGAGGATACCCATTCGTTCGGTGGTTTAAAGGGAAAGCAAAAGGAAAACCCGTTTTGGGGCCGTGCGTGGACTACCCACGTACCGCTCGCACAATGAAAATTGGACCCAAGCTGTTTGGGCGTAACCTCCAAATGCCCCAGCTTCTCACTTGATATGAGCCCCTGACGAACAAAGGAGCTTTTTACCATGCAAAACCTGGTTCTGAACAAAGCGGATATTTACAGGCGTTCCTGAAAAGCAAAATAAATTCACAAAACGGGTTGATCTCCGAATGGGTGCAACCTAACGTATGTGGTTTGGTTGTTTGCTTTCTCTTAGCCCCAAACACCATGTCGACTAAGCTTTGATCGGGAGGAGCTGGATCACTTTGGGGAACACTCCCCCTGATCCGGCTTGATTCATGGTTCATTCTCCCAAACCTGGGGCCAACACAACAAATGTGGGTGCGTGTTTGTTGAAGGTACCTGTTCTTGCAGCTTCACAGGGAAGCCAAACGTTGAACGCCTCCATTTTGGGTCCTCAAAAAGAAGACACGCCCATGCTCGGTGTCTGCTTCAAAAAGATAGATGGACAAAAGAAAGCTCTGGGGACTGGACGCTGGACGCCCTTTGGGCGCTTTAAGTTGCAGCGACTGATTCACCGAAAACGACTTTGGCTAAGGCTGGTTATTTTCAGGTTTGATGGGTTTGTCTTGAAATGACACACCCAGCATGCTTCAAGTTTCCTCTTGGCTTCCCTTCAAAACCCTAAAAACCAGGCACCCTCAAACAGAAAAGACCTATATAGGCCTTTTATAGCCGCCATAAGACCAGGTGTAGAATCATCTTCTTTGCACCTTCCAGGGGCCGGAACATTCCAGGGGCTTGGACAGTGTCGTGAGCCTATGAGTTTGTTCCACTGCTTTTGTGGAAATGGCTCGGGCGCCGGCAATCTGTAATGCAGGTTGCTGCAGATGGTCTTGTAGACAGTCTCCGTCTCGTCATCACCTGGCATGGGAGTCCGATTCGAATCGGCCAGAGTCCCCTTGACCTCGCAAAACCAACGCATGCCCAACAAGCCGACTACCAACATCAGCATGTTGCAAGAAACAGGAGTGACAGTGACTCCAGTTCAATCCGTCTGGCGGAGTAGCTCTCGACCCCCAACGTCCATTTGCTTGGTGATGCAATGTCAACCCCTGACTAAACAAAAGAGGTATCCACCTGTAAAACGGCTTGTTTTCAAACACATCTCCTACAGACGTCTGACTTAATTGCCGGCAGTTGCTTGGCAATGGAGCCTCTATGAAAAGTACCGACTGGGTCCAAAGTTCTGGTTCCTCCTCAAGTTCATGTCCCCAAATGAACCATAGAAACCACAAACGAAGCAAACCGCCTTTATAACATCGCCCCGGGCTCAATGCAGTCGCTTCGGTCCCAAAGCCACGGTGATTCACTCACGTCTCGAGTGGATTGGCCCAAAGAAGTCCGTATCAAGGATACCCTTTCGACCACGGGGAATTTGTTTTTTTTCAGGAGTGGCATTGAACAGGTCCTTTATGTGGCCGTCCAGGAGTTCAGAAAGTGTGTTGAGGCGTCGAGCAGGAAACCAGCGCCCACCGCCCTTGACTGTCCGCATGTCCCTGCACATATGGGGTCATGGCCCCTTAAGTTTGGTTTGGGTATATTAGACCTTCTCACTTATTCAAGGGTACCTGGTTCAAAACGTGAGGTTTCAAAGCTCCCACGATTTTGCTGATTCCAGCCGCCACTCAACAAAAACACCCAAAAAACAGCTTGAATCTGAGTCCATCTCATTCCTAAGAAACCAGTCAGCTTAGAGCAGAATCCCATCTCTGAAGGGAGCTGATTCGTGCCCCCTCGGGTGCGTGTCCAAGTCATGCAGAAGGCTGGAACGCCCGGCTTTGCCAAAGGATCTACCAGCATTCCTGTTTCGGGGTATCCAACTTTTTGGTATGGCTTCAAAGAGAGCCTCCCATTCGACACTCCCATATAACCTTGGTCCCTGGAAAAAGAAAGCATGCCCCCGTTCTCCAATGTACCAAGCCCACAGGCTGGCTGGGTCATTTCAATCTGTTCCGAGCAACGGAGAATCTTACGGTTCTCTTAGGAACTACCACCGGATGAAACCGTTTGAATCAGTGATTCCAATTGCAAGGATCTGGCTTGCCCCTGTAGCAAGATGCTTAACATATTTTTTTAATGTTTCGTCCAAACAACACTCAAACGGTTTCATCCAGCGGCAGTCCCCAAGAGAACCGTAAGATTCTCCGTTGCTCGGAACAGATTGAAATGACCCAGCCAGCCTGTGGGCTTGGTACATTGGAGAACGGGGGCATGCTTTCTTTTTCCAGGGACCAAGGTTCTTTTGGAGCCTTCACGAAACAGGGACGAATTCGCAAGATCAACAGATCCATTCGCTTTGCCAGTAGATCCACTCTGAATGAGAGTCTTACCCCCTACTCCTTTTTAGTTCGTATATCTGAAAAGCCCAAAGCGGTTCATGGCAAATACGACCCTTTGTTTTCCCTTTTTTTTGTTTAAACAAGTCCCGGGGTGAATGTCACAAAAGCACCTGGGATATTTGGAACCTCGGGGCACCGCGCTCGCGCCTCCTCTGACTTCGATCCGCCGGATCTGCGAGCGGATCGGAGCGGCCGGGTCGTACAGCATCGGCTCTCAAGCGGTGGCTTTTCCGGTGGGATTTTTTGTGCGGGAAGAAGCACCTAGACCCTCCAAGTGCCCCCTAAAGATGTGATACTGTCCCAGAATTATTGCACCTAAAACCCTCAAAGTGCCCCTAAAAATGAGATCCTAGATATTGCCCCGCATTTATTAAGGGCAGTTTGAGGGTCCAGGAACACTGATGGTAGTGTAAAACGCGAGTTGAGGTACATAAGATGTACCGAATACCCCTAATTGTAAACCAGCCACTCGGGGGTGTCCTTTTTCGAGGGATCTCCTGTTGGGACTGCCTCAAAGGGAAACAAAAAGGAAACTGAAGTCCGTTTTGGGGGCCCAAAAAGACACCCCCATGTGGTCCTCGTACAAAAGAATATTGGAGCCTGGTCAAACACCAGAGCCTACTATTAAATCATTTGGGTTCCAGCCTCCAAACGAAGACACATTCAAATTCAACCATTTGAACGTTCTGGAAGAGTCAGGGAGACCCAGGTACACGGAAAACAAAGGAAACCAAACCTGAAAGGTTGAACAAACATCCCTACCCTCGAAGATTGGGCATTCACCCATAATGGAAAGACATATCTACTTTTTAAGGGTAGTTAGTGTGAGGGTCCAGGATCTATCACATGCGTCCAACTCAGAAAACAAGTGAAACGAACAAAAAACAACGTCGGATGGAGACAACAACGCTGCCAGTCCCATGCGGAGCAACTTCCAAAGGCTACAGCTGGGTGTGGTTTTTTTGGAGTCGTATCCCTGTGTTGGGAGTCGGGTTGAAAGGGAAAACCCATGCAAGAAAAAACATCTTTCAAACACACCCATGTGGGACACCTTGATTTCGGGGGCACCCTCTACACCTTTTGTTTGAGCCATCTTGGTAGCCCAAGATGGAATTATATTTCCCTGTGAAGGTAACCAATGGAACCTCCCTTAAACAACTGAAGGAAACATGGCGAAGAGGCCCATCAAATACGCAACTGGGATCGACTGGGCCATATTTCAGTTTGGACACCTGGGGGGGGAGGCTCTCTAGTCTGCACTAGGACCCCAAAATGGGAAGCCCATTTGTCCAGTGCTGCAGGTCCAAAAAACAGTATGTGGTATGGGTCCAAACTAAACCACCACGGGAGCGCAGGTCTTAATCCTTGATTCCACTTACCAGGGTTGTATTTTGGGTGCCTATGTTTGACCCATAGCCATGTATGTATATCCTGCCCGCTTTGAGTCTACCCTGTTGAGCGCGAGGCAGAGTTCTGGAAGAACTCGCTGATGGTCAGCAAATGGCGCTTGTACCTTATCTCACTGGAATCACCTTCAAAACCTACCCCCTCTGGTTTAAAAGTTGCGGCCGTATCTTTTTTTGGCCGGGACTGTCCCCTACCCTTTCATCGCCCGGGTTCTGATTGTGACTCACTGCGTGTGCCACAGGTTTTGGCAGGTAACCAGGGCAGTTGGTGTCCCATGCGCACACCCATCCGGCCATTCCATTTCATGCATAGTAGCCCGTTTCTTTCAATTCCGAAGTGTCTAAATAATTTTACATGGGCCACTGTTATGGGCCATTATTTTTGTGGTTTGCTGGCGAGAGAGACGATAGTTCCAACGAACGCAAATCTGCAAGTTTGATTTCAGCAAAAGGGCAACCAAGGACCCAAACATCTGAGTTCCCAAAATAGGGGCCCATTCAGGAAACTGTCTGTGCCAGTGAATGGGCCCCTTTTTTTGGGACCGGGGTTTGGGGGCTTGGCACGAAGAGTCCCAATGGAGTTGGAACCTTTCAAGATTGCTGTCGTCAAAGATTGCTACTCCAGAGGCAGTTGAGAAACGCATACATCCAGCCACCTGGTCCTTGTGCTCCGTACCCAATACATAAGGGGTTTGTATAGTGTTTGTATTTTTCAGCCGTTAGCGGCCCATAACAAGGGCCCAAGTAAAAAACTTTAGAAAGTGGTCTCAACTTTAGGACTGAACATGCCCAGTTTGGAAGCAATGTTTGTACTAGTCAAGCATGGGTAACAGTCTTGCTCCAACCATCCTTGATGCAAATGGTCGGAACACATGGCCGCAAATGCGACCTTGAGAAGACGATGCAATTCAACCAAAACTCCGATTCCACGACTCGACACAAATCACTCCAGACTGCCAAGAGTCCATTGACTCGACATGATTCTAAGGACCCATTTGATGGGCTCGAATAAATCGCTTGCTCCATTGCACCAAAGGACCCGCAATTGTGTCGCGTCCGAAAGCGGTGGCATCCGAAAGGAACCCATTTGTTGTTGTGTTGGACCTTAGGGTCATCAACAAGATACCAACCAAGTATTGGCCGCCGTGTCACTGCTGCAAACGCATCTCGATCATGTCGTCCTTGTCTGACTGCGTCTCTGCTACCTGCAGTGTGGTTCATTCAGCATTCACAAACGTCAACCGATGTAAGTGGTCAACTGAAGAATCAACATGACAGATACACACTTACACCCTACTCCAAATAGCCTGTTGTTTAGGGCAGGATGTCAACCCCTGACAACCCGTGGAGATATTTACCATATTATGAAATCACTGGTTGTTCCAAGTATACCCAACACAAAAGCGGATATTTGCAATAAGCTGCTCATGTTCCGCCACACGGCCGGTTGCACTCAGTTTCTCTAGGATGCATCCAAACCATGCTTGAACATGCTTCACAAGGCAATCCTCAAAATGAGCTGTTGGAGGTTTACCTGTTGAGTTGGCCCATATCGTTGAATCACTCGTTCCCCCGGTTGGTGAATTGGATTGAGGTTAGGGGGTGGCTTTCCATTAACCATCTACAAGTTCGCATCCCCCAGCCACCTGTCCCAGCCACCAATGATGGGGTACCTGTTTTAACTTGAGGGACCCTGCAAAAAACAAACAAACAACTCGGAGCTCTGCGCTTGGCCTGTTTCAGTTTGGCTAGGGGGACTATATCGCGACTTGGCGGTCGAGTCTGTGCACGGCTAAGCAGCGGTGCAGCAGCCCGATTTCAAGGCGCCTCACCTAAAAGGCCTGGCGAGGTCCGCGGCGGTGCGAACCGGCCGGCGACTGGTCCAATCGCAAAGTGCGGATCTTGTGGACTGTACAAAGTCCGCTGAAGCTCCTACCCAAATGCCCTGTTGGGGAGGGTGGACTCCACAGCTCAAAATGTTGATGTGCTCAACATAAATCCCTGGCACACGAAAGTAGTTGAAAGCAATCGTGTACAGGCGCTTCACCAGCTTGACCTGGCTGGCAACTGTCGTGAGACTGAACGAGCAGGGCTTGGCCGAAAGAGGAACCCAGCTGTCCTTGCCATTGCCAGGGACTGGAAAAGAAATACCGCTTCTGTGCAAAGCTATTGCGAGCTCAAGCCAACTGATGGCACGTGCAGCGTCTGTGTCTGCATCATGGCTCAATAGCCATTCCAGCGCGGATTTAAAGAAACATGCAGGAATCCCGCCGAGGGGATCTCGCCCGATGTGCAGCTCCCAATCGGCGGGGATAAAATCGGCGATGATGTCATCTCTTGCTCTTTGCTGCACATCCCCACCGGGGATGATTTCAAGTTCATCCTCGTCCGGAGGAGGTGCTTGAAAGTTGGTCTGAGCGATGCTGAAGTACAAGGCCCGCAGCTCACGGCTTAACCTGGCGTACTTGCTCACATGAAGTTTTGCAGCGGCAAGAACCTCTGTAAACTGCAAAGAGCGGTTCAGGTTAGCGACGCCTGCAGCTGTATCTGCTTTTGCATTCCAGGTGGCAGCCCATTCCTCAAAAGGGTCCTCACACTCATGTAAAAGCACGTGCGAATGGACATGTCGGACGTTCACCAACAGCTGCTCGCATGCTGAAACAAGATTGCTCGCTCTTGTCCAAAGATCGTGGTTGTCTCGCCCATGCAGGTCAAGATTACCGGCCAGAATGTCCTGGTAACCCTGACATACATAGTTGCTATCTGTCCAGATAATGGTGGGCTGCCGAAAAAATCTCACCCACTGACACGCAGAGCAGAAAGCCGACAGTTCGGCTCGGTTGATAGTCTGGGGGAAACCAACAAGGGGTCCCGAAGAAACACAATCCGACGACGTCGCCGATACGACGGCCCAGGCTGCTACTGTAAAACCTTCGCAATATGTACTGCAAGATCCGTCAGTAAAAAGGTGTTGAAGCTGTCCCTCAACTGGGCGAGGTCCTTCAAAGCGGCCTGCATGATCGGGCATCTTGTTAAGCAATTCCCGGTAAGCATGGTACCAGGGATTCCTTGGGACAAGCAGGTGGTTGGTGAAGCAGGCTGGGAGAGAGTCCCAAAGGCGAGTGACCTCTGAGGCGTGTGACCGGGCAAGTTGATGAGCCGGGCAATGTCGACACTGATGCTCGTAAGTGTCGGGCACGTGACAAATGACACAGTCAGGAGTTTTGGCTGTGTCGTAGTGAGCGTGTTGGACTCGGCTTCGAAAAGAGCCATCCTGGATGGCCGAGAGCATGGCTTTCTCGTGAGGAGTCAGCCTTGGGTAGTCCAGCCGGCAGAGTGGCAAGTCGATACCCTGTAGCCCATGCATGGAAGGGCGTCGGAGTTGTTTTGCTAGCGCCTGGGCCCAGCCGTCCTCGAGTAGTGCAGCGATTGTGGAGTCCGGGGCGGCCAGCAGGTCGCATGGGACCCCGTCATGATCGAGCACAAGCGGAGGGTCAACGACTGTCCAAGATATGGTGTCGAACACTTCAAGGAGTTTGCTGAAGGGACCGGGTAGCAATTGACCGGAAAAGCGCCTGATGAAGGCTCGCCAGAGATTGACAACCTGTGGCTGCTTGCCGCAGATGCGGCGGAGGTCCCGCACCGCGCTGACGAGCTGGTAGTAGCCAGGGTCTGCCTCCGCTTTTCCAGTGAGGAAAAGTCGAAGCTGTGGGTTCGCGCCAGCTTTGTTTGCGCGCAGTGCGCGAGTGGCTTCCGACCGCAGCTTGCCGATGTGGATGTTGCTCAACAAGCATATGGAAATGCCATGCAATGCCTTCGGCCAGAAGACCTGGTAGAGCGAAGCTAGCTTGGAGTGGTACGGGGCTGTGGCCCGACGTAGTGCCCTCCAGGAGGCTGCTAGCGAACGGCATCGCTCGACTTGTCCCGAGTTCCTCAGCGCCTGTCCATATGAAAGGCAACCGCCAAGGTCCTTTGCTCCATGAAGGACTGGAAGTCCAATCGGCTGAAGGGCCGTACGTAGAGCGGGGAGTGTCCCCCAGGCCAGGCTTTTAGAGAGATCAAGATCAAGCCCCCAGGAGTCGCAAAAAGCAAGGAGCAAAATCCATCCTCGGGCAATGAGTGAAGCCTCACCCGCATGGAATTCAAGATTGTCAACGAATGACATGGTGTCGATTGACGGCTCAAATACCTTGAAGTATCGGTGGTATGCCAAGTCGACCAGGCACATTGCGAAGACGCTCATCGGGCAGCCTTCTGCGAAACCGCAGGTGGATGAAACTCCTTGTGAAAGACTCCCCCTGACTTCAAAGCGGCGCTGGAAGTTGCCGAGAAAAGAGGCCCAGGCCGAGAGGAGTCCTTGTGGAGCTCCGACATGACTGGCGATGGCAAGAGTTGGTAGTCGAGGTAAACTGTTGAAAGCCTTGACAAGGTCGGTTGTGATGCCAGCTAGGCCTGACCCGCATTGTGTTGCGATCTCAATGCGGGACTGGAGGGTGTACCAGTATTCCGCGGCCTCCCTGCCCGGGAGAAAACCGTATGCGTCGCAGTTAAAAAGTGGCTCTAGCTGCCGCAGAAGGTCGTTGCACCGGATTGCAGCCCATGTGCGGTAAATGAGGCTGAAAATGACAATGGGCCTGAAGTCGTTGACTTGTTCGGCGATCGAAGATTTGGCTAGGCATTTGACGATGCCTGTGAGCAGTTGTCTCGGCCATTGGCAGGTGCCTCTTTCGATGCCGTGAAAGAGCTGGAGTAACTGTCGGATGAAGTCTGTTGGCATATTTGCAAGGTCAAGCTTTGCATAGCCGTCAGTGCCTCTGGCTGCGATGACCTTGTATTTCCGGAGAGTGGATCGCCAGCGATCAACAGTTATGTCAGGCAAAGAGAAGGTGCGTGTTGGCAGAAAAGCTTGGGCGAAAGCGAAGATGCGCTCCCACCGGTCAGGGGAGGTGTTTGCATGTTTTTGCCAACGAGGTCGCCAAAAAGAAACGAATTCCTGATGTACCTCTTCGGTGGAGGTGACAAAACTTTTCTGAATGAGTTGTTGGCCAGGGTGAAGCAAGTAGTCCGACGTGAGGTTGCATGTAGCATCACTGTGGCAAGTGACCTCTGCTATCTCACCTTGATGCCACCAGTGCGAATTGCTTTGCCTCTTTGGGGTAGAGTCAAGAAGAACCTTCTGTCCATCTTCGGCAACTGCAAGGATGGTGTAGTCCTGTTGAAGAGTGAGAGTATCAACAGGTTGCGGTCGCTCGTCTTTGAGTTGCCCGAAGAGAGTAGCGCTGTGTTGCTCAGCTCGGTTCCAAAGGGCTTTGGCACGTTGTCGGATGTGCCAACTCTCGAAGCGCCGAAAATTGGCACGGTTGCCAATGCGAGTGTTGGTGTGCCGATGGGGAGCTCACTGGGACTGTATGGTAGGCGTGAATGACGGTTTCGCCACCATGCTGTGAACCCACCTTCGAAACCTGGTGCACGAATTGTTGAGGCCCAAAGTTCGACCTGGTAGGCCAGGGCCGCAGCGGTAAGCTTGTTGCTCCGCAGTGCGTGGACGAGTGACTGAAGTCGTCGTAGTTGTTTGAACCATTGCCGTACTGCTGTACAGACAAGATCGCTACCAAGCCGCTCCTCCCCATGGCGGCTTGGTCTTGCCAATGGAGCAGAGATGGGGCGCATGGTGGGCGCTGTGCGTTGCCCACGCCCCTTGCATCGAGACGGGAGCTTATGCCCGTGTTGCCGTGGCCATTCTGCCGAGATGGCAGTTTCGTACTTAGACGAAAATGATGCAAACCAGTCAGTGGTGTCTCCTTGTGGTGATGGGAGAGCACAAGTGGTGGTTGTGAATGAGGATGGATCGCCGAGCAATTCCCAAGGAATGAGTGCAGGTAAAGCCCAAGCCCGCAAGAGCTGAACCTGATCAGGGAATGCCAGACGAGCAATGACAGTGGCGTGTTCTTGGAAGGTGTGAACCACGCTGACCTCAGCAAGCATTGAGGCAGCCTCGGGCGACATGTAGACCAGGTCGCGTTTTGTGGCGCCCTTGCAAGTCATCTGCGGCTCAAAGCCCCAGAGTTGAAGGGCAAGTGTCTGGGCCTCGACCCAGCCGTGATGGTGCCACAGTTGCACCTGGGCCAGGGAGTCAGGGTCGTGGTTAAAGTCCCCGCAGATGAGGCGGATACCTGTTCGTCCTATCACAACTTCTTGTGTAAGA